GGATAATTTGGGTTTGTTTATTTTAAAGATTTTATTTATTTTTGAGAGAGCACAAGCAGGTGAGGGGCAGAGGGAGAAGCAGACCTGTTCAGCAGGGACCTCAACATGGGGCTTGATCCCAGGACCTTGGGATCATGACCTGAGCCAAAGGCAGATGCTTAACCACATGAGCCACCCAGGCAACACAGGGATAATTTGGTTTTAATTAAAGTCTGAATTACACTTTTTCTGAACCTCACAAACCTTTTAATTTACCTTCCAGCCCAGATTCCTCTGCCATTTTTCTCTGACTGCCTTTTCTTTGCATCGTTTGACACCTATCAAAGTAAAGGCTAAAGGCTCCAAAACTGGGGGCACTTGTAGCTCTTGGCGCCCAACCCAGCTTCTTTCAAAATGTTTTACTGTTCATGAAATTCTCTGCAAGCTCAGCTTGGAGGGTGATCATTCCATGCCCCCAAATGCATACAGGTGGATGAAAGCATACACCAATTTTGATGCTGAGCATGATGCTCTGGCACTGAAAAGGCCATCAGAACCAAAGATGTGGATGAGGTCACCATTGTCAACATTTTGAGCACCCACAGCAATGAAGAGAGACAGGATACTGCCTTTACTTACCAAAGAAGGATCAAAAAGGAACTTGCATCAGCCCTGAAGTCAGCCTTGTCCAGCCACCTGAGGACTGTGATTTGGGGCCTATTGAAAACATCTGCTCACTATGATGCTTCAGAGTTGAAAACCTCCATGAAAGGGCTGGGGACTGATGAGGACTCGCTCGTTGAGATCATGTGCTCCAAGACCAACCAAAATCTTCAGGAAATTAACAGAGTCCTCAAGGAAATGTACAAGACTTATCTGTAGGACATGATTTCTAACATATCTAGTGACTTCCACAAGCTGATGGTTGCCCTTGCTAATGGTAGAAGAGCAGAGGATGACTCTGGCATTGATTATGAACTGACTGACCAAGACTCCTGGGATCTCTATAATACTGGAGCGAAGAGGAAAGGAACTGATGTGCCCAAGTGGATCAGCATCACGACTGTGCCTAGTGTGTGTCACCTCCAGAAAGTAGTTGAAAGGTACAAGAGCTACAGCCCTTATAACACATTGAAGAGTATCAAGAAGGAGGTCAAAGGAGCCCTGGAAAATGCTTTCCTCAACCAGTTCCAGTACATTCAGAACAAAGTGCTCTATTTTGCTGACTGACTGTATGACTCCAAGAAAGATAAGGGGACTCTCGATAAAATCCTAAATCATGATCTATCATGATCTTCTGCAGTGAAGTGGCCTTGTTGAAATTTAGGTCTGAATTCAGAGAAAGTACAGAAAGTCCCCATACGACTACATCCAGCAAGACATGAGGGCGACTGCGAGAAAGCACTGCTGTCCCTGTGTGGTGGGAATGATTGAGGTCTATGAAGGCATGAGCATCCAGGAGTGGTGCTCCTTGTTTCCAGCTAACAGTTCTAGAAAATATCTTGTAACTAACAGACCCCTTGTACCTATTCCTGTAAGGATGACATTAGCATTGCCCCACCCCATCCTTATTTTGGTTGCCTAAGCAATGCCTGCCTCTCATGTCTAGTCTCTCCTTTTAGCCAAAGAAATGAACATACGAAGGAATTGGAAGTGGATGAAACACTTTGTCTCTTGTATATTGTGTCATAAACAGATGAATAGGGATCCCTGGGTGGCTCATTGGTTTGGCGCCTGCATTCGGCCCAGGGCGTGATCCTGGGGACCCGGGATCGAGTCCCACATCGGGCTGCCTGCCTGGAGCCTGCTTCTCCCTCTGCCTGTGTCTCTGCCTCTCTCTCTCTGTGCATCTGTCATGAATAAATAAATAAAATCTTTAAAAAAAATAAAATAAACAGATGAATAAACGGAATTTTTACTCTAAAAAAAAGTGTAGGATATATTCTAATTATGCCTGTTTCTCTCTTCCTATTAGGAACGTAAATTTTAAAAAGTTATCAGATTATTATTAGATGAGATTATTTCTGCCATTATCCTTTAGGACAGCAGTTCTCAAAGTGTGCTCCTTTATTATAGAAGTACCAATATCACCCATGAGCTTGTTAGACCTACAAATTCATGGGTCCCACCGACCTACTGTACCAGAATCTCTAAGGAAGGGGCCTGGGAAACTCTCCAAATGAATCCTATGCATATTAGAGTGTGAGAACCATTATTTTAGAAGACACTATTCCAATTCAAAAGCTGTCAATGTGCTTTTAACCAATGCGATTTCCATCAAGTGCCTAGATAATGGGAGTTCCTCATACTACTGTAAACACTAACCTTTATGATTATCTTATATCTGCAACTCATCACCTTTTCCCTTGGCTAAAGGTCATACAACACATTACCATTTCTGTATCTATCCCATTTTTCTCTTTTTTATTATCTTCTAGATGGTGTTCAGCATCCTTTCACTCACAGGATCTCAGATCTCAGTGCAGGTATATAATTTCTTGCCATATCACACTATTCTCTCTCTCCTTTTATCAAATCTGACTCTAATTAAAAAGACATCCTTCCACTGTTACATTCAAGTGGGGAGCCCAAATCAAGAAAGTCATCAAGATGGTCATGATAAATCTCTATTTTTTTAAAAAAGATTCTATTTATTTATTCATGAGACACAGAGAGAGAGAGAGAGAGAGAGAGAGAGGCAGAGACACAGACAGAGGAGAAGCAGGCTCCATGCAGGAAGCCCGATGCGGGACTCGATCCCGGTACTCCATCCCAGGACTCCAGGATCACGCCCTGGACTGAAGGCAGGCGCCAAACCGCTGAGCCACCCAGGGATCCCCGATAAATCTCTATTTTATCATTCAAATTTTGTATACTGTTATAAAGACTTTGGAGCCTCTAAGTATTACACCTACCTAGATTGCATAATGTTGTCTTTTCTGAGTCTCCATTTATTCTGCTTACTATGTCTTACTGGATGTCTAACAGGGATATATCAGTTAATCTGCTTGTTTGTCTCCTCTCTAGCAGTATTCAATCTAAAATTGTCCTAACCAGATCAGACAGTTCCTAGGAAAATACACATAGATGCATTGTACAAAATATAATAATGAAAAAAAAAATCACAAAGTGAGCCATAAACACAATTTGCTAAAGAAATCTGGGTTCCAGGGGCACCTGGGTGGCTCAGTGGTTGAGTGTCTGCCTTCAGCTCAGGTCATGATCCTGGGGTCCTGGGATCGAGTCCCACATCGGGCTTCCCGCAGGGAGCCTGCTTCTCCCTCTGCCTATGTCTCTGCCTCTCTGTGTCTGTCATGAATAAATAAATAAAATCTTTAAAAAAAAAAAAAATTATATATATATATATATATATATATATATAAAATCTAAAAGGAAGAGTTTGGTGGTAAGATATATAACCACACTTAGAAAATATGCTTATTTCTAATTTTGTTACTCAAACACTGCAACTTTTAATGAGTCACAGCTTTCAGAAGTCTGTTTCTTGCTACCAAAATTGGATCCTGAAAATGACCTATTCATGAGAAATGCTTTGATGACTGACTAGGAAATGACTTCATGTGTTTATAAACCTCTGTACATCATCATCATCCCCTTTATTTGTTCAGTCATCTTGTTATTGACAGAGGTACTACTTAAAATTATTCTACTCTTTTTCACTTCCCAGCTCTTCTCTTTCATTCATCCAGCTTCATCAGGTCTTAAATCAATCTTCAGCCTTTTGGAGGCTAAAAAACCTATTATTTGCTCCAACATATTTTGCTCACCCAAAGAAAGTGATGGTATGAGATATAATGTTCTTTTTTTTTAAGATTTATTTATTTATGATAGACAGAGAGAGAGAGAGGCAGAGACACAAGAGGAGAGAGAAGCAGGCTCCATGCCAGGAGCCCGATGCGGGATTCGGTCCCGAGACTCCAGGATCGCGCCCTGGGCCAAAGACAGGCGCTAAACCACTGAGCCACCCAGGGATCCCGGTATGAGATATAATGTTCTGATAAGTCTTCAGATTCTTAGGGAAAAGACACCTTACATATATAAATGGATATATTTAGAACTCATTGTTGTAATTTGAAATTACAAAGATCATTTTCCCTGTAAGATAATTTTACATTTTCATGTCATTTTTGACGCACAAGAATGTCATAGTAATGACTACTATTATTTTTATCACTTAACAAAGGAAAAAAATTAAAATAAACATGAGGCTACTTCTCTCCCTTTTCCTGTTGACTAAAAGAGGTACCCCCTTTCCATATTTTACTCCAGAAAATAAGTAGGTTCGGCATAACTGAAATAACCCTACCCCCAGACCATTATAACATGCATGTATCTACCCCAAAACATCTCTGAAGATCTCCTCAAATCTCTTTCTCACTCCCTAATGACTGAGGCATCCAGGCACCCCTACAAATCTCTTTCTCTAACCAACATGCCTCATCCAGATCTAAAGCTTAATGAATATATACTATAGAATGAGGACCTAAAAGAAAAAAAAAAAAAGACAATCCTTTCAATGGCATAAGGAACACTGTTTTCTTTACTAAGTCTTCAAAAAGTGACTTAAACCAGTCATTTTACATGGTGAAAACGAGAGAAATTCTCTGAAATCTCTACCTTTCAATTCCTTTAGAAGACTCCTGGCCTTTGGGTTGTTTTTCATGCTCAAAGGCACTATGCTTTCATTTAACTTCTACAGAAGACTGAACCATGTGATATTGTCAGTCCTGCTGATATAATATTAAAAACTAAAACAAAAACAAAAACGCACAAAAAAAACCACCAGTCCTATGATAAACTAACTTAATAATTCCTTTTCTCATCCATTCATTCAACATTATTAAGCAGCTATAATGCCATGCTTTCAATCATCAATCATTCAATAAGTACACAAAAAATGAAAAATATAATATGATAAGGAGTACTTTTACATCTCCATTTTTCTAAGATATTTCTAGCATGCATTTCACATATAGTTTCATGCATTTAAATGGTCTTACCTCTCTTACAGATAGCTGTGGTGGGAAGGAGACTGAAAATACCAAGTTGGTAAATTCAAACCCAGAGGCCTCAACTTTTTGGCACACCTAAAAAAGTATTACATAAAAGCATTTTACATAAGACAGTATTATATAAATTCTCAGGAATTGCTGAAAATTTTACACTAATCTTCATAACATGAGTTTTTGGTCCAGGAGATCCACTACACTTTTAAACTTTCACCTTTGGGAATTCTCATAAACATCCCAAAATTAAATATTTGCTAACTATGATCCAGAAGACTGATATCACGAGATGCCAACACAGCCAAGACTCACTTGCAGAACAATCTGTTGAATGTCAAAATAGTTTTCTATTAGATCACCTCATAATTTAAAAAATATTTTTAACAAAATAAAGCCAAATTTAGCCTTCCTGTCAGCTAGAAACAAAAGGCAATCCCACATTCAATCATGTACCTTCCACAAGACCGTAACACTTGTCTTTTCAAGACACTAAGTATGACCGAGAGCTTTTCTCTAACTCCTTAGCTATGTTAAACAGCAGAGGGAAAAACCATTATATTGTTCTTCAGTTGAGTAGCTCTCATGACTGAAATACATGGACACCTACTACATTAATTTTCAGTTTTCTTGTTAATAAAGAAGCAATTTGAGAACAGTAGGCCTGTTGTTTTTTTTTTTTTTTAATTAAGAAATGTTTTAATGATGCATTGGTGTAAAACATGTTGAAATGAATAGTATTGTTACTTTAGATTCAAGACTTCTAAGCTTTAAGACTAAAATTTTACATAATTGCACATATAATGAAAAAGATTATTTACCTTTTTAATGAATTCTTTTTCACAAAATTCTTGAAGAATTCCTAGACATACATTGCACACATTTAAATTTGAATTCTTGGAAGCAATGTGACCATCTTCAATATTGGAGACCTTTCCCTCTCCATTCTGACTCAGATTATCAATCCTATCAGTCCCATCTTCTAGTTCTTGTAGTCGAATTTTCTTGGGAGGTGGGTTTGGAACTTCCAAAATTAATTCATCTTTTTCAGTTTCCAGAAATTTCTGTAGTTCATTGAGCAACTCCTGGAAAGTTAATTTGAAAAAAGTAATAACCCTTTGACAATGCCCTAAAGGTTAAGATGAAAGCAGAAGTGAAATTATGATATAGTGCAGATTTATACAATGTTGATTTTTAGCAATTTTGGAGCAATCGATAAATTTTATTAGCCAGCACTGGCTTTCTGGGTAATTCAAAAGAGAATTACCTAACTCCTACATGTGTGAATATTTTTCCAAAAGAGTTTCATATCTTAGTGAAGCTAAAGTCCTGAATGTGAGGCAGAAGGTGCCATTAACAAATCTGTTACATGCATTACTGTATTTACTCTGCTTGAGTTTACTGAACTTTGTAGATATTGCATCTTTAGAAATGACAGGTTTGTGTATCAAAGAAGTATCAAACAAGTCTATCATCACCATTTTTCCAACAGCATTTCTGTCTCTGTGTCACATTTTAGTAATTCTCGCAATATTTCAAACGTTTTCATTATTATACTTGTGATAGTGATCTGTGATCAAGGATCATGACTTGCTGAAAGCTCAGATAATGGCATTTTTTAGCACTACATTATTTTTTAATTAAGTATGTAGATTTTTAAAACAATTCTATTACACAATATACTATAGTATATTATAAACATAAATTTCATATGCACTGGGAAACCAAAAAATTAGTTTGACTCACTTCATTGTGATAATCACTTTATTATAGTGGTCTGGAACCAAACCCACAATATCTCTGAGGTATGCCTGTAATTTGGTTTGTGAAGGTCATTCACTTGCTAATTTATTAAACAAACAAAACAAAACAAAAACAACCAAAAAAAACCTCCTTCAATTCTAATTATTAACAAATAGAAATACAAACTGAATTTCCACCCTTGCTAGGTTGCTTAATAATTTCACAATCACAAAACATCTGTACATTTACTCAACATGAAATCTGAAAAATTAGAGATTATACATCTATTAAGTAAATGTAATTTCAAGACAAGTTACTAAACAAAGGTAAACAGATGTCAGTAATGCTGAAATTTGGCACCATTAATTACCAAAACCATTTATATGCATTAATTGGAAGAAGCCCTTTGCTACATTCTGGTTTGCCTCATTTCTGTTACCCTTTGTACTAAAATGTTAAAAGTTGCATTCTTTTGAAATCATTCTCATATTTCAGAGATTCCACCCATCTAAATACTCAGAGAACTTATTCTCTGTTTTATCTAAATTATACAGATTTTATTATTCAGTTGTTGAATAGATATCCTTCTGGAATTTACTCAGATTACAATTTACTGACTCTAAAGAAAAAAATCTTTCACTCGAACAAATTTAATTCATTTTATTAGGATAGTAGCTCTATTTCATCTTTAACAGAAATACTAATATATATATACACATATAGGTATATTTGACCCACACAAATATGTTTATTACCTAAGTTCTATAATGGCAGTATAACATAGTACATGTATATGTATGTGTACATACAGTTATAGGACTACAAAAGATGAAAATTTAAGTACATTTACAAGAAAAAAATTGTCTTCAAATATTTTCATGTTTATTTACATAAAATGATACAAATAAATGCTGGTAACACTAAGTCTCTTTATATAATATTTAAAATCTTAAAACATTTTAAATATTAAAACAAATACATAGAATAATATAATGTGTCTGCAAAATGTGTAAGGAGAGTTATACAAAACCAGTCTTATTACTTCATAGTCATAATGTGTATAAATGAATATACACATATATATTAATCGTCATAGCATATGTACCGTTTTCAAAGTGTTTTCACATACTTTATTAGATATTGTCCCTTAAAATCCTGTGAGGTGGATGTTATCATCATTCCCACTTAGAGAGGAGAAAACTGAAGCTGGAACTGGGATTCAAATCCATGTCTTCTAGCTCCAAACTCTAGGCTTTGGATTCAGACAGTTCATATCCTAGCTTGCTCACTTAATAGCTGTGTAACTTTGGGCAGGTTGTTTAACCTCTCTGTGCCTCAGTTTCTTCATCTGAAAATAGAGACAATCATAGTATGTACTTACCTAATAGGTTATTATTAGGATTAGATGAGAGCTTGACATATAATGTTATATGAACACTAGATATTATTTCCAAAATAATAGAAACTAATACATAGGGAAAATGATGGTTATTGCTAACTCCTGAGCAATTTTAAAAATTGTAAGAAACTGAGTGTATGTGTGTGTGCACATACTATTTATATAGGTATATATTTACTTATATATAATTACTGCTTCTAAAAAGAATGTCACTATAGGAATATGTTATATATATTTTTGTGAAAGTATTCTGTTAAATAGTCAAAGCTCTCTGTATATTGCCATAAATGTCAAAGAACCCTCTATATTATATTTGCTATTATTAATAACAGTAAATAATGATTATGATATGCATTTACTTTTGGAGGGTTGCAAGTACCTATTTGTAAGTACAAATGGTAATAATACAGAAAAGAAAAAGAAAAAAGGCAGCCAAATCCACAATGCTTCCACTTAATAAAAGATCTCAGGACTGTCATCCTCTTCCTGTCACATTTTATTAACAACTGGCTAGAAGTACTATTTTGTGATTATCTGTGTACTCTTTAGAAGAGGTATATACAAACATTAAATACACTAGGGATTTACACCACAAAGATCCCACTACATTAAATGTTAGATATAATCACTTAAGAAGGAGCTTACAGTTTTATGGTACAAAAAGGAAATTCCAAATTTACCATTATCAGTAATTATTTTACTATAGTTTTTAAAAGTTTAATGATGAGTTATGGATAGATACTTGCCCTCAAATGTACAGGTATTCATTTTAGAATACAGAAACTTTCTTTAGAAACAAAATGAAAATACCTTGTAGGGAAGTTTGTAAGGTGCATGAAAATCCACACCACAGAATCTGAAAATACATCTTGGACAGGTACCAGTACTGAGCAACAACTGGGCCACGTGCTTGTTTTCCTCAGTCAGTGGAAACATACTGAATAATAATAACTAGAAAGAAAAAAAAAGTAAAAGTAATGAACATCTTTTGTGTTTTACTTTCACAAATATGTCACCTTTATGGATTAAAAAGTAATTTTATTTGAAAACATTATTTCGTACCCTCCAATAATATCCCTTTTGCTATATCCATATTGAAACATAAACTTGAAAGACATTTACTAGATGGGTCAGGTAAAAGTTTCTAATTATCAAGGAATTCAGTTCACCATTCTGGATTATGATAAAGTATATCAATATAACTAAAATCAATTAAAATAATCAAGAATGATTGTCTCTGAGAATAATAAAAACAAAGAATACAGAGTGAAGGTTTGTTATTTTGCACCATTCATTGTTGTTTGAGAAAACAATTGAGTAGTAAATTCAATAAACTTTTCCTATTAGAAATTAAAAATGAGTTTGCTAGGAAAAAATAATCAGTCCATCTATATTTTTTAATGGTCTCAATGATACTTAAGCAGGCAAGTATTCACTTATTTAATTTTTTTAAAAGATTTTATTTATTCATTTGACAGAGAGCACAAGCAAAGGGACTGGTAGGGAGATAGAGGGAGAGGCAGACTCCCTGCTTAGCAGGGAACCCGATATGGGGCTCAATCCCAGGACCCCGGGATTATAACCTGAGCTGAAGGCAGCCGCTTAACTGACTGAGCCACCCAGGCCCCCCAATAGTCAAGTATTTAAAACAAATTGATCAGTAGAAATAAAATCATCTATTATACTTTGATGAGAATACTAAATGACAACCAACTATTAGCAAAATGAGAAAAATCTGCTCCTTTCATGCACAAGTAAAACCTCCCCCCACCAAAAACCCCCACAAATTACATGCAAAATAATTTAGAGTAATTATCATCTAAAACAAGTTGTTAGTTTTTGCAATTTGAATAAATATCCTTAGAAACAAAAACTAGAGAAGGGGGTAAAATCCGATATAACTCTCTTGTTGCCAGGAAGGAGGTATACTAAAATCAAATTACCTAATCACTCTGTTTTACAAAAATAGGTCTGATTAATGAATCAGCTCACATTACTTTAAAATGAGGAGCTAGCAATATTTTATAAAATAATGATTGTAGTATGGTATAACTATGGTCATACAGATAAAAACAGTGGCGCTTTTTAATTTGTGCAGTTTCATAATTTGAACAAACTTGCTTAAAATTTGTGGGACGGTGAAGCTCTTACCAACTCCTTACAGTGAAGATGTGATTCTTAGAAGTAGTTTGTCTTTTCCAACCCTTTAAAACCCACTACTTTACTTGCAAGTTTCTAAATATTTGTGGCCACTTATCAGGAGTCTATCCTTGATCCAAAATAATGAGGAAGGCAGGAATATACTTCTACAGAACCCTTCACCATAAAAATCAGTTTAGCAGCCAAGACTACAAAAAACAGGTTGCCTCTGACCGAGTTCCAATTCAGGTAAACATAGAGTGGGAGCTAGCAGACAGGAAGAGAAGAACATCTGACATTGCCTGGATACACCAGTGAGAACTTTGAGACACCAGGATTAACCTTTGATTTAGGGCTGCCTACGTAAAGTTGGGCTCAAGGGCATTCTCACAAAAGGACACAAAGTTTGTGGAGAACATCTTGTACAGAGTAGCTGTATGTGGTCATCATTATATGCAAGTGATCTGGATTCCTTCTGCCAGGCCATTTAATCTGCTGGTTTTTTGTTTTGTTTTTTTATTCATAAGAGACACAGAGAGAGAGAGGCAGAGGGAGAAGCAGGCTCCATGCAGGAAGCCTGATGTGGGACTCGATCCCGGGTCTCCAAGATCAGGCCCTGGGCCAAAGGCAGACGCTCAACCGCTGAGCCACCCAGGCTGCCCCTGATCTGCTGGTTTGATTGGAACTAAGTGAGAGGCTGATTATCAGCATTTAAAGTATATCCCTGACTACAATCCCCTCCGGGAGAAACTATTTCTGTCTCACTCTTTTTTTTTTCTCCATCTTTCCATGACTTAAGACCAAAGATATCATTTAATCCAGAATTAATCTGTAACTCAGAGAAACAAACCTTCCTCCCTGATGAATAAGTGCATGAGTAAGTTTTTAAAAAGAACACTTTGAGGGGCAGCCCTGGAGGCTCAGCGGTTTAGCACCTGCCTTCAGCCCAGGCCATGATCCTGGAGTCCTGGGATCGAGTCCCAGGTCGGGCTCCCTGCATGGAGCCCGCTTCTCCCTCTGCCTGGGTCTCTGCCTCTCTCTCTCTGTGTGTGTGTCTCTAATGAATAAATAAAAATCTTTAAGAAAATAAATAAAAATAAAAAGAACACTTTGTCTCAAAGATTTCCCTGGGGGGCTGAAGATAAATACTATTATTGAAACGGATGCTTCCTAACGATAACAAGTTCCATTTGGGACAATATGGATGGATGGAACAGGTTGTTGGGTTTTTTTTTATAAGTATTTTTTTTAATTTATTTATTCAGAGAGAGAAAGAGAGACGGAGAGGCAGAGACAGGCAGAGGGAGAAGCAGGCTCCATGCAGGGAGCCTGACGCGGGACTCGATCCTAGGTCTCCAGGATCAGACCCCGGGCTGTAGGCGGCGCTAAACCGCTGCGCCACCAGGGGGTGCCCAGTATTTTTTTTTTTTTAATTGGATGGAACAGGTTGTTACACTATGTGAAGTAAGTCAAATTGAGAAAGACAAATACCATGTGATGTCACCCCTAAGTAGAATCTAAAAACCAAAACACACACACAAATGAATAAACAAACAAAATGGATCTCTATAAATACAAAGCACAAACTGATGGTTGCCAAAGGGAAGAGGAGTGAGGAACACAGGCTTCCAACGGTGGAATAAGTCATCAGGATAAAAGGCAATGATTTGTGATAGGTTGCAGGGCGGTGTCGGAAGTTGGCTACACTTGGCGTGAGCACAGGATTTCCTACAGAGAGATTGAATCACTATGTTTCACACCTGAAACTCGTGTAACATTGTGGGTCAACTATACTTAAATTTAAAAACAAAAATTCAATTGGGGAGGGAAAAAAAAAAAAGGATACTTTCTTTCCTTTGGTTCAAAGACTTGTTTATTTCTCCGAGGGGTATACTCCTGGTATGAAAGTTATCACTGCAAAGACAATAAATGACAGATTACGACCTCTTGGCTCTGAGATGTTCCCAACACTGCGGAGAATTCGGAAACCTCTTGGCCTGAGTAATGGTAAGAGGTATGAATGAATGAATGAATGAATGAATGAATGAATGAATGAATGAATGAATGAATAACAGAAGACTAAACCCAGTCTTCGGTGTGCATGTGTCGGTGATGGGTCTTCCGAACCCTCCCGCTCTTTTTCACTTTGCAGCAATCTAGCGACTTCTCAAACAAGTAGACAGACAGTAAAAGCAAGAAATGCGGGATCCCCAGGTGGCTCAGCGGTTTAGCGCCTGCCTCGGGCTCAGGGCGTGACCCTGGACGACCCGGGGATCCAGTCCCACGTCGGGCTCCCTGCATGGAGCCTGCTTCTCCCTCTGCCTGTGTCTCTGCCTCTCTCTGTGTGTCTCCCATGAATAAAAAAATTTAAAAAAAAAATCTAAAAGGAGGAAATGCGCTCTGCCTCACACTCGGTGGTTTCCTCTTGATGCGCGGCCCTGCAAGAATTCCTTAGGTCCTCAGAAATCAGCCGTCCCCTACGAGGTGTCCCAGCTTTGAAAGCAAAGCCCTAAGAGCTCTAAGGTGGGTCACTGCCGGCTGCCTTCGTTCCGGTTTTGTTTTTGTTTTGTTGTTTTGGCTTCTCCTCTACGTGCTTCTTTACATAAACCATGGGAACTCAGTCATTGCAACAGGACCTCCTCCCACCTGCCAGGATCCTGAACCGGGGTCTGAGTCACTTCTCCACGGGCCAGCGATACCTGGAGGAGACGGCGGACTTTCTTTTCACCTCTTGGACTTAAACAGGAGCCATTCATTACAGATAGGGAAGGAGCAGGGCGTGTGAAAACACACACACACACACACACACACACACACACACCACAGTATGGCCAAACTGGGTCTCACACCCCGGGATCTTCCAACGCTCATTTCCATACCGAAGCTTGTGTGTGTGGTTCGTCTCCCGGCGGCGGCGGCGGAGGGCGCGGACTTTTCGAAGGAGACGCTCACAACTTCATCGCGCTACCGTCGCTCTCCGCTGCAAAATCCACTCTAGACTCGTGGAAACGCATCCAGAGCCTAACCTCCCGTCTCTCCTCCGGCCAGGCGAGCCGGAGCAGCAATCTAGCGACTGCGGTCGGGTCCGAGGAACTTCCCGCTCGCCCCTTCCTGCTAACGAGGCCGCTCCTGGAGGAAGGACGCGACCCGGTCCATCCACACCTCCGCAGCGCCCGGTCCGTGCCCGCGCCCCCCGGCCCCCGCCCCCACCCGCCAGACCTTCCTGCCTCACCTTCTCTCGCGACGCCGGAGCCTGGGCTTTAACCCCTTCCGGTCCCCCAGAGGGAACGGGGGAAGACTAAAGACAACGCACCTACTGCGTGACGCAATTCTGTTCCCCGAGGAAACGGGAGCTTTGGAACGAAAGTACCAGGCCCTCTCGCAAAGGGCTGAGCGAGTGAACTCTCGCCTCTTCTTGTTTGTGGGGAAACCAGAGAAGCTGCCTGGCCCGCCGCCACAACCCCTTGCCCCCGCTGCCAACCCCGCGGGCGGTACAAGTGCGTGGGACAGAACTCGCCGCGTCCCAGAGAAGCCTCCATAGGACTCCCATGTCTAGGGCGTTGTAGCCGCTGCCAGAAATATCGATGAGCGCCTACCTTCAGGTTCACAAAGGACATAATTGCAAATTAAAAGAGAGAGAGTCCCACCCCCCCCACCCCTCCCCACCCCCCCGGTGGATTAGCTGCAGCGACCTGGCCTCAGGTGCCATCTGGCAGAGGAGCGCAAGCGGCGTGCAGGCGGCCGGGGTGGGCGGGGGGTGGAGAACTCGGTGCTCTGCCCGTTGTGCCTGGCGAGGTGCTGCCGTCCCCGGGCCCGGGGAGTCCCAGCGCGGACGGGGAGGCGAGCGGTGGCGGAGGAGATGGCTTCCCAGCCGCCTCCTCCCCCGAAACCCTGGGAGACCCGCCGAATTCCTGGGGTCGGGCCGGGCCCGGGCCCCGGCCCCTCTTTCCAGTGAGTGTGGGATTCTTCTGGCCGCGGGGCTGGCGGGGCGGAGACGGTTGAGGCCGTTGTGGGGCTGAGGTGTCCCCTCCCCCGCGCGCCGGGCCCGGCGCCGAGGGGTCTAAGCTAGAGACCGCTCCGGGGCCGCACGGCTGTCTGACTGGACGGCTCTCGGTAGGGACGCTCTTGAGGGGGACCCTCCCTGGGTCCCGGCGCCTGCAAGAAAGCGGGAGGCTTTCCTGCCTCCCTTTCCTGTGAGCGGAACACGGCGACAGAACCGCTCGGCCCGTAGAAGAAAAATGTTAGACTTTTGGTCTTTGGCAGGTGTGAGTGGCTGAGATTGGCCCAGCCCCAGGTCGCCCCGGAGGGAGCAAAGTCTCCGCCCGGCTTTTACGCGCCTCTCGGGAGGTTGGTGGAGGCCCCGAAGGTCGCTGTGAAAACCCAGGTCTGTGCACTTTGTGTTGCTTTTCTGCATAACTGAGCGACGTTTTGGGTAAAGACCTGGAGAAGCAACTTTGAAGCGGGAGTCCTGAATCCGAGGCCTATGTATAGATGGCCTTTGTGGGTCACTTTTCCAAGGCCTGTGTGTTGTTGTTTATTTATTTGTTTGTTTGTTTCTCATCGGTGTCTTTTTTTTTTAAAAGATTTTATTTGTTTATTCATGACAGACACAGAGAGCTAGAGAGGCAGAGACACAGGCAGAGGGAGAACCCCCCCTCCCCCCCGCCCCGATATACTGGGTGTATTCCTGCTATGTTGTAAGATCTTGTAATCCTTGTTGAAATGTTGAGATACCTGAACACATTAGCAGCTTAATCTAATAATGATAGATTCATCACGAGTAATAAGCTTTGCTTATACTGTTAAGTTGGAGGGCGACGCTTTCTGCTGTTTTATGAATGATTTGACTTTTTTAAATTGATTGATTTTAATTGATTTTAAAGTCTTATTTATTTATTTATCGCTTTCTGCTGTTTTATGAATGATTTGACTTTTATAAATTGATTAATTTTAAGGTCTTATTTATTTATTTATTTATTTATTGATGAGAGACACACACAGAGGAAGCCCGACGTGGGTGGGACTCGATCCCGGGACTCCAGGATCACGCCCTGGGCCCCAAGGCAGGCGCTAAACCGCTGGGCCACCCAGGGATTCCCCCCCCCCCCCGCATTGGACTTTTTTTTTTAAACCTTGGACAGCAATTTGGGAAGACAGGTTTTATACTTGGCATCTTGTTAAAAGTCCTGTTTATGTAAAATTAACCTCCCCCCCCCATTTTTCTTCGTTGAGAATTTTAAACACATAGAAACTTGGTAGAGTGTTAAGACAGTGAATACTTGCGGACTCACGCTAGCTTTAAGAACATTTTTTCCAGATCTGCCCCAGATTTTTTTTTTTTTCAGATTAAAAAAATAATAATAGGGATCCCTGGGTGGCGCAGCGGTTTAGCGCCTGCCTTGGCCCAGGGCGCGATCCTGGAGACCCGGGATCGATTCCCACGTCGGGCTCCCCGTGCATGGAGCCTGCTTCTCCCTCTGCCTGTGTCTCTGCCTCTCTGTGTGTCTCTCTCTCTCTGTGTGTGTGTGACTATCATAAATAATAAATAAATAAATAAATAAATAAATAAATAAATAAATAAATAAATAAATAAATAAATAAATAAATAAATATAAAACTTAAAGTGTTAAGCCCCCCATTCTTCTTTCCTGCTATAACTACTGTCCCTATTTGGTGGTTTGTGTACCCAATTATGTTTTTATAGTTTAGTAGTTTTTGTGTTTTCTGTGTGTGTGTGTATCTGTATATAGTGTTTAGTGTGTTTTTTAGACTTTATGTTCAAACTATCATTTTGCAAATTTTTTTCCATTAAATACTGATTTTGAGGTTTCTCTTGTTCATACTTATCTCTGTAGTTCATTTTAATCGCCAAAGGATATTCTATTAAAACAAACTTATTCTTTTGTAGGTGTTAAAAGTATTAGCTACATATTAAAAACTGCTAGTGATTTTTTTAAAAAGATTATTTATTTGTGTGAGAGAGAGAGAGAGAGAGAGAACATGAGCAGGGGCAAGGGGCAGAGGGAGAGGGAAAAGCAGACTCCCTCAGAGCAGGGAGCCCAATGCCAACCGATCCCAGGACAGTGAGATCACGACCTGAGCCTAAGGCAGACACCGACTGAGCCACCCAGGCGCCCCTGCAGTGACCATTCTTGTGCCTCTCTTCTTGTCCTCATTTCCAAGGTGTTTCCTAATTGTTATTGGAAGTGGAATTGCTTGGTGGAGGGTATGCTTAGCTTCAAGTACTATTGCCAAGTTGCTCCCCAAAGTGGTTTTATACCAGTGTTTACATTTTCACTAGCAAAGTATTGTGTTTCTACATTCTTTCTAACACTTGATGTTATTTTTTAGTTCTTTATTTGCCAACCTAATAGATATGAAATGATATTTCATTTTTAATTTGTACTTTCTGGTTAGTAATAAGATTGAGCATCTTTTTGAATATTAAATTAGCCATTTGAGTTTTTTCTGTTGATATTTCTTGCCCACTTTTTTTATTGGCTTCAGATTTGCCTATCAACTTGTTAAAAGTCCTTTATTCATACTTACTCTATTTTTGTATGTTTTCAATACCTTTCAGTCTGTGACTTGTCTTCTTGCTGTGTTTGTATTCATGTTCACTTTTGTTGTATAGATACTTTTAATTTAAATATAGCCAAAATTTTCATATTTATTGTTTGTGTTTTTTCTGTCTTGGTTAAGAAACCCTTTCTGCCTCGGATCAAGAAAATTAAAAAAAAAAAAGAAAATTTTTCTCTATTTCTTAAAAATATTCTGCATTTCACATTCATATCTTTAATCTCCCTGAAACTGACTCTGTTGTATAAAATCAGTTGCAAAGTAGAGAATATAGGGTTTTTTTTTTCCCATGGGGATAAATACCCCAGTATCTTTAATTTATACCATACTAGTTTATAATGCCATCTGCATCATATTAAACATTCATAAATGTGTGGGTTCTGTTTGGGAAGCTTTCTGATATGTTCTCTTGGTCTTTCTATTCTTATGCTAGCACCACTTTTTTTTTTTAAGATTGTATTTATTCATTTTATAGAGAGAACAAGCAGGAGGAGGGAAGGAGAGAATCTCAAGCAAACTCCCCACTAAGGGACCCCTGCTAATGACCCTGAGATTACTATCTGAACCAAAAATCAAAAGTCAGACTCTTAACTGAGCCACCCAGGCACCCCCACACTGTCTTGTTAATAAGTTTGATACCTGGTATGTGAACAACCTCCATACATTGCTGTTCTTCAAAATTGCCTTTGTTACATTTACCCTTTATAAAAAGACTTACTGGGATTTTTATTGGAACTTTTTGAGAATTTGAATCTTTTTTGCCTTAAATAATGTAACTATCTCGAGGAAGTATTTTTCCATCTTTTATATCCAGCATAATTCAGACTCAAGTTGTTCTGGTGGTTTAGTTGAAATTCTCTTGTGTTCCATGTTGACAGTTCTATCATTCACAAATAAGCTAGCATAGATAACCATCATCCTTGTATTGCTTCTGACTTTCATTGGAATGCTTCTCAAGTCTCACTATGAAGATATGATGTTTGCTTTTTTTTGTTGTTTTTGGGGTTTTTTTTATAAAAAGATGTATTTATCTATTTGAGAGAGAGAAAGAGAATGCACAGAAGGAGAGGGAGAAGCAGACTCCTCGATGAGCAGAAAACCTAACATGATGCTGGGCTCCAATCCCAGGGCTCTGACCTGAGCTGAAGCCAGATGCTTAATGGACTGCCCACCCAGGCACTCCTTATGCTTTTTGGTTTTTAATAGATTTCCTTTCGAACTTCTATCTCCTTACCTTGCTCAGATTTTTATTTTGAAGGAGTATTACATTTTATGAATGACTTTTATCCATTTATTGAGATAATCATATGTATTTTTTAAATTTGAAAATGTGGTTTATTTGTATCAGTTAACTTTCTTATGTTGAACCATCCATAAGTTTCTGGATGAACTGCTTAATTGTGATTATTTTCTAAAATACAATGTTCAATTCTGTTTTTACATTTTAAGCTCTTTATATATATATCTAGGTGAAACTAGCCTGTAAATTTCTTTCTTTGTACTGTACTTCTTTGGCTTTATATCCAGGATGTATAGCTATGGAAATTTTTCTGTTACGTCTAATTTTTATTCCTTTATAGATTATTTTTTTCTTAGTAGCTTTTAAGATTTTGCCCGATACCTTGGTCCCCTACCAAGGGGAGCTTTATTGTGCTCTATTCAGGTGTGAATATGCAGACATGTATATTTTTTCTTCCTGCTCAGTAGCTATAGTGTTCATGCTCAGCACCTGTAAGGTTCACTCTAAGGATTCAATCTTTAATTCAGGAAAATTTTCACTAATTATATCTTTATTGTTTAAGCACTGTTCTTTCCCATCTCTTCTTCGGGAGTCCTGTTAAACATTGTATAAGGAATACTTTCTACTACAAGTAACTATATGATTTTCAACACTTTGGACTATAAAGACATTTCTTGTTTAGTTAAGGGGTAAGTCTAGAGAGTCTAGAGATCTGCTAACTCAGCATTGTCATTAAGAGACCTACATTTTTTTGGCTTCCTTTTAGTTTTCTGTAAGCTTTCTGAGAGTTTGATCCATTTCTGTCTTATTCTTCTTTGAAAGTAATCTCGTTTTTCCTCTGGTGGCTTTAAAGATTTTTCTCTTTGTTTTTGATATTCGGTGATTGTACTCTGTTGAACTTGAATGCGAATGATTTTGTTTGTGTTATTTTGAGTGGGATTCATAGCAATACTTGAATCTGATTTGATGTCTTTCATTCATTTCAGAAAAATCTCAGCCATTATCTCTTCAAATACTGCTTCTGCCCATCATCGTTTCATCCATTTGATTCTAACTGCATTTGAACTGTGTATTTCGCTGTACAGCCCATACCTTAAAGTCTTTCTGCATGTAGTCTTTTATTACTCATGCTTCATTCTGGGTATTTTCTTCTGAATTCTCTTCAGGTTTAGTGATGTTCTTCTTTCAGAGTGTCTAATCTAATATTGAACCAATCATTAAATTCATAATTTTAGTTATTTTAATTTTTTAGTTTTAGAATATCCATTTGGTCTTGCTTAATAGTTTCTATTGTCTACTGAAAAATCTCAATCTTGTCTTTTTTCCTTGACTATTTTAGTCATAGTTTAAAGTCTCTGCCTAATAACTCCGTTATCTGGACCCCTACGGATCTCTTTGTATTATCTGATGTTCTTTTTTTTTTTTTTTTTTTGCATACAGGCTAGTGTTCATATAATCCAAATTATTTTTTAGTGAGAGCTGGACATCGTATAGGCAATTTGAGGCCTAGAATGCTGTCTTCTTCCTGAGAGTTTTGCCTTTGACAGGCATCTTGTATCACTAGCAATCTAAGGTCATTTAATCCAGTCAAGAATTGAGCCGATTCAAAACTGTGGTTTTAGTTCCTACAAGGGCTAGCCTATTTCATGTATACAATTTTACCTTTACTAGTGTAAGGTCCTAATCTGAAGTGTGGGGTTTTACCTTGGCTGTCCTCCTTAGGAGTTCTGAACTCTAGTTTTTGTCTCTCTAGGACAAGGAGTCTTTTGAAAGCTCTGTACAGCTTCTTGTCCTGTCAACCATCTCTTCCAGAATGGACCCTTGTCCCTTGAGAATTTTTTTCATATTTACATGTTTTTATTGCATTTCAGTTTTTATTTCATAGACATTATTGCTTCATTGAGCTCATTTACTATTTTAAACATATTGGGAATCTTTGTTAAACTGTTATATGAAATTTGTTTTTCCTTGAATGATTTTGCATTCTTTTTTAAATTTGCATTCAATCAATTAACATATTGTGTGTTATTAGTTTCAGAAGTATTAGTATTAGTTTCAGTATTATATAACACCCAGTGCTCATTACCTCATGTGTCCACCTTAATGCCCGTCACCCCAGTTAACTCCATCCCCTCTAGCAACCCTCAGTTTCCTATGATTAAGTCTCTTACGGTTTGTCTCCCTCTCTGATTTCATCTTCCTTTATTTTTCCCTTCCTTCTATGCTTCTCTGTTTTGTTTCTTAAATTCCACATATGAGTGAAATCATGTGAAAATTGCCTTTCTCAGATTGACTTATTTCGCTTTGGATAATACCCTCTAGTTCCATTCACATTGTTGCAAATGGCAAGATTTCATTCTTTTTGATGGCTGAGTAATATTCCTGTGTGTGTGTGTGTGTGTGTGTGTGTTAGTGTGTGTTATACATCTTCTTTATTCATCTGTCAGTGGACATCTGGGCACTTTCCATAGTTTGGCTATTGTGGACATTGTTGCTATAAACACTGGGGTGCACATGCCCTTTCGGATCACTACATTTGTATCTTAGGGGTAAATCCCTAGTAGTACAATTGCTGGGTCGTAAGGTAGCTCTATTTTTAACTTTTTGTGGAACCTTCATTCTGTTTTCCAGAATGGCTGCACCAGCTTGCATTCCTTCCAGCAGTGTAAGAGGGTTCCCCATTTCACTACATCTTCACCAACATTTATTGTTTCCTGACTTGTTAATTTTAGCCATTCCGAGTGCTGTGAGCTGATTGTAGTTTTGATTTGTATTTCTCTGATGCCGAGTGATGTTGAGCATTTCTTCATGTGTCTGTTAGTCGTTTGTGTGTCTTCTTTGAAGAAATGTCTGTTCATGTCTTCTCTCCATTTCTTGACTGGATTATTTGTTCCTTGTGTGTTGAGTTCAGTAAGTTCTTTATAGATTTTTATTCTAACCCTTTATCTCATAAAACATTTGCAAATATCTTCTCTTCTTCTCTAGATTGTCTTTTGGTTTTGTTGATTGTTTCCTTTGCTGTGAAAAAGCTTTTTTATCTTGATGAAGTCCCAATAGTTCATTTTGCCTTCCCATGCCTTTGGAGATGTGTCTAGCAAGAAGCTAGAGCTTGTCTAGCAAAGTCATAGGGCTTGCTGCCTGTGTTCTCCTCTCGGATTTTGATGGATTCCTGTCTCACATTTAGGCCTTTCATTCATTTTGAGTTTATTTTTGTGTATAGTGTAAGAAAATGCACTGTGGCTGTCCAATTTTCCCAACGCCATTTGTTGAAGAGACTGCCTTTTGTCCACTGGATATTGTTTCCTGCTTTGTTGAAGATCAGTTGACCGTAGAATTGAGAGTCCATTTCTGGGTTCTCTATTCTGTTCCATTGATCTGTGTGTCTCTTTTTGTGTCAGTACCATACTGTCTTGATGATTACAGCTTTGTAATAGAGCTTAAAGTCCTGAATTGTGATGCCACAATTGGTTTTCTTTTTCAGCTTTCCCTTGGCCATTTGGGATCTTTTCTGGTTCCATACAAATTTTAGAATTATTTGTTCCAGCTTTGTGAAAAATGTGGGTGGTATTTGGTAGGAATTGCATTGAATGTATAGACTGCTCTAAGCATAGACATGTTAACAATATTCTTTCTTCCAATCCATGAGCATGGAACATTTTTTCCATTTCTTTGTGTCTTCCTCAATTTCTTTCATGAGTGTTCTATAGTTTTCAGAGTACAGATCCTTTACCTCTTTGGTTAGGTTTATTCCTAGGTATCTTACGGTTTTTGGTATAATTATAAATGGGATCAATTCCTTCATTTCTCTTTCTTCTGTCTCATTGTTATAACTATATAGAAATGCAACTGATTTCTGTGCATTGATTTTATATCCTACCACTTTGCTGAGTTCCTATATGAGCTCTAGCAATTTTGGAGTGGAGTCTTTTGGATTTTCCACATAGAGTATCATGTCATCTGCAAAGAGTGAGAGTTTGGCTTCTTCTTTGCCTATTCAGATGTCTTGTATTTCTTTTTGTTGTCTGATTGATGAGGCTAGGACTTCTGATATGGCATTGAGTAATGGTGGTGAGAATGAACATCCCTGTCATGTTCCTAACCATAGGGAAAAAGCTCTCCATTTTTCCCCATTGAGAATAATCTCTATGGGCTTTTCATACATGGCTTTTATGATATTGAGGTAGGTTTCCTCTATTCCTACACTGTGGAGAGTTTTAATCAAGAAAGGATGCTCTACGTTGTCAAATGTTTTTTTCTGCATCTATTGAGAGGATCATATGGTTCTTGTCCTTTCTTTTATTAATGTAGTGTATCACATTGATTGTTTTGTGGATGTTGAACCACCCTTAAACCCCAGGAATAAATCCCACTTGGTTTTGGTGAGTAATCTTTTTAATGTATAGCTGCATTCTATTGGCTAGTATCCTGGTAAGAATTTTTGCATCCATGTTTATCAGGGATACTGGTCTATAATTCTCCTTTTTGGTGGATTCCTTGTCTGATTTTTGGGATCAGGGTAGTAATGCTGGCCTCATAGAAAAAGTTTATAAGTTTTCCTTCCATTTTTGTTTTTTGAAACAGCTTCAGAAGAACAGGTATTGATTCTTTAAATGTTTGGTAGAATTCCCCTGAGAAGCCATCTGACCCTGGACTCTTGTTTATTGGGAGATTTTATTTTTTTAAGATTTTATTTACTTATTTGAGAGACAGAGACAGCATGAACAGAGGGAGGAGAAGAGGCAGAGAGAAGCAGGTTCCCCACTGAACAGGGAGTCTGATGCAGGACTTGATCCCAAGACCTTTAACCACTGAGCCACCCAGGTATTCTTGGGAGATTTTTGATTACTGCTAGTTTCCTTGCTGGTTATGGAGGTTTTCCTGGTCTGTTCCAGTTTTCTATTTCTTCCTGTTTCAGTTTTGGTAATTTATATATTTCTAGGAATGCATCTATTTCTTCCTGATTGTCTAATTTGTTGGTATATAGTTGCTCATAAGATGTTCTTATAATTGTTTATATTTCTTTGATGTTGGTCGTGATGTCTCCTTTTTCATTCATGATTTTATTTGGGTCTTTTTTCTTTTTGATAAGTGTTGATCATATTAATTCTTTCAAAGAACCAGCTCCTAGTTTCATTGATTGCTTCCCTTTTTTTTTTTTTATTTCCGTATCATGGATTTCTGCTCTGATCCTTGTTAATTCTCTTCTGTTGCATAGGCTTGATTTGCTGTTCTTTCTCCAGTTGCTTTAGGTGTAAGGTTAGGTTGTGTATTTGAGACTTCTCTTGTTTCTTGAGAAAGGCTTATATTGCTATTTACTTCCCTCTTAGGGCTGCCTTTTGCTGCATCCCAAAGGTTTTGAACACATCCCAATTGTGTTTTAATTTTCCTTTGTTTCTGTGAATTTTTAAAATTCTTCTTTAACTTCCTGGTTGACCTATTCATTCTTTAATAGGATACTCTTTAACCTCCAAGTTTTTGAGTTCTTCCAAATTTCCTCTTCTGACTCAGTTCAAGTTTTAAAGCACTGTGGTTTGGGGCAGCCCCGGTGGCGCAGCGGTTTAGCATCGCCTGCAGTCCGGGGTGTGATCCTGGAGACCTGGGATCGAGTCCCACGTCGGGCTCCCTGAGTGGAGCCTGCTTCTCCCTCTGCCTGTGTTTCTGCCTCTCTAACTCTCTGTGTCTCTCATGAATAAATGAATAAAATCTTTAAAAATAAATAAAGCACTGTGGTTTGAAATATGTTGGGAATAATTCCAGTCTTTTGATATCCATTGAGATCTGATTTGTGACCCAGTATGTGATCTATTCGGGACCATGTTCTATGTGCATTCAAGAAGAATGTGTATTCTGTTGCTTTAGGTTGGATGCTCTGAAGATATCTGTGAAGTCTATCTGATCCAGTGTGTTGTTCAAAGCCTATATTTCTTGGTTGATCTTCTGCTTAGATGATCTGTCCATTGCTGTGAGTGAGGTGTTCAAGATCTCTACTGTTATTGTATAATTATCAATGTGTTTTTTAAATTTTGTTATTTACTTACTCATGAGAGACATAGAGAGGCAGAGACAGAAGAAGCAGGCTCCATGCAAGGAGCCTGATATGGGACTTAGTCCCAGGACTCCAGGATCACGCCTTGAGCGGAAGGCAGATGCTTAACCACTGAGCCAGGCAGGCATCCCATCTTTTTTTTTTTTTTTTTTTTTTAAGATTTTTACCTATTTATTCATGAGAGACACAGAGAGAAAGAGAGAGAGAGGCAGAGACACAGGCAGAGGAAGAAGCAGGCTCCTTGCAGGGAGCCCATTGTAAGACTCTATCCCCAGATCCAGGATCACGACCTGAGCTGAAGGCAGATGCTCAACTACTGAGCTACCCAGGCGTCCCCACCCCCTCATTTTCAATCTGGAGGTGTCTTTGGGTCTAAAATGAGTCTTTTGCAGACAGCATATCAGTGGGTCTTGCTTTTTTAATCCAATCTGATATCCTTTGTCTTTTGATAGGAGCATTTAGGCCATTTACATTCAAAGTAACTATTGAAAGATAGGAATTTAGTGCCATTGTATTACTTTTAAAGTCACCGTTTCTATATATTATGTCTGTTCCTTTCTGGTTTATGTTATTTTGGGGCTCTCTTTGCTTAAAGGATCCCCTTTAATATTTCTTGCAGGGCTGGTTTAGTGATCACAAATTCTTTTAGTTTCTGTTTGTTCTGGAAGCTTTTTATCTCTCCCATTTTGAATGACAGCCTTGCTGGATAAAGTATTCTTGGCTGCATATTTTTCTCACTTAGCACCCTAGGTATATCATGCTAGTCCTTTCTGGTCTCCCAGGTCTCTGTGGATAAGCCTGCTGCAAGCCTTATGTTTCTACCTTTGTAGGTTAAGGACCTCTTGTCCTGAGATGCTTTCAGGATTTTCTTTGTCTTTGAAATTTGCAAGCTTGGGTATTATATGTCAAGGTGTTGACCTGTTTTTATTGATTTTGGGGGAGGGGGGTCAGTGCCTCCTATAATTTGCTCAAATATACCTTCTGCCCTTCTTTCTTCTTCTTCTGGGACACCAATTATTCTAACACTATTTTGCTTTGTGGTATCATTGATCTCTCAAATCCTCCCCTCATGATCCAATAGTTGTTTATCTCTCTTTTTCATTTTCTTTATTCTCCATCATTTTATCTTCTATATCGCTGGTTCTTTCTTCTGCCTCAGTTATCCTAGCAGTTAAGCCTCTGTTTTATTGCATCTCATTAATAGCCTTTTGATTTCAACTTGATTAGATTTTAATTCTTTAATTCTCCAGAAAGGGATTCTCTAGTGTCTTCTATGCTGTTTTCAAGCCCAGCTAGTATCTCTATAATCATTATTCTGAATTCTAGCTCCAACTTTTTACTTGTATCCATATTGATTAAGTCTCTGGAAGTTAGTACTGCCTCTTATTTTTTTTCCCCTGGTGTGAGTTTTTCCATCTTGTCATTTTGTCCAGAGAAGAATAGATGAATGAGGGAACAAAGTACAAAAGTATCAACCACGACCCCAGCAAAATATACACTAAACAAATCAGAAGAGATCAGAACCAAAAAAGAAAAAAAAAGCGGGGGGGGGGGGGAGAATATAATGAAACAGGTGGACAGAACAGAATAATACACTAGGTCCTGGATGTATTTTGGTCTGTTAGAAGAAACTACATCCCAAAATCATATAGAAAGAAAAACTTATATATGTATACAACAATAAAATTGAATACAACGAAAGGAAGCCACAAATGAAGGATATATATGTAAATAAAATATAAATGTAAAAATAAAAATTAAAAAAAAAATTTTTTTTAAAGATTTGATAACATAGGAAACTAGTTGAAAAGGAAAAAAAGAGGGGCACCTGGGTGGCCCAGTGGTGAGGTCGTAATCTCGGAGTCCTGGTCAAGTCCCACGTTGGGCTCCCTACAAGGAGTCTGGCTTCTCCCTCTGTCTATGTCTCTACCTCTCTCTGTGTGTCTCTGATGAATAAATAAATAAAATCTTTAAAAAAAAAAAAGGGAAAGAAAAAAATATTTAAATCAAAAGACTAAAGAATCATGGGGGAAAACCCCCAAATTCTATATAGTGGGGTTTTGCAATTCTGTGTGATTGGTAAACTTGTTATTAGCCTAATGCTCTTGCTGGTCTTCTGGAGCAGGGGCCTGTTTGCTGATTCTCAGGTGTCTCTGCCCCGGCGGTATTGCACCCTCTTGCCAGGTGGCAAGGCTCTGTGTAAGCAGCTTCAGATTGCTCTGTGTGGCTTTTTTTTCCCTGAAAGGTTTCCCTCTTGCTTTAGACGATGAAAATGGCTGTGCCCTGATCTCCAGCCCAGAACTGAAAATATGTACCCTCTGCTCTTCAGTGAGCCTTCACAGAAAGCAGTCAATCACTCTTGTCTCCCTGGTTTCCATCTGTACTCTGTTCACCTAGTCTGTGACTGAGCATGTTTATCTCAGGCACGCAGTCCCATTTGAAGTCTCTAAACTTTACAGACTCTTGCTGAACACAGGTGCGCCATTCCTTCCAGGACGAAGAGGGGAGTATCCCCCCAGTTCTGGCTCTTGCTGGGCCCCTGCTGGGAGAGCAGTCACCTGCAGTGCCACAGTTTACAATTTATGGCAGCCTTTTTCTGAAAGCCCTCTCCTGGACTCACTGCAGCTGGCTTCCCTGCTCCTCAGCTTGGGAACTCTGCTGCACTCAGGCATCCCTGTTCTTTCTGTAACCAGAGATCCTGAGACTGCACTGTCCTACCTAGGATTCCACTCCACTTTCAGGCAGGGATGTCCCCCAACTAGAGCAGATTTTCTTTTTCTTTTTTTTTTTTTTTTTTTTGCGGGGGGAGGTTATACCAGGTTTATTAGGAAATAACAAAATCCAGAGAATCAAGAGAGAACACATTCAGTGAAACAAGAAACAATTCAGAAGTAGAACCAGAGTAGAAATTTTGTTGACAATAAAAATTAATGGTAAAATTTTATTTAAAAAAATTGATGTTAATAAAAATGCTTATTAACCCTTTGGGAGAAAAATGAAGCTGGATCCCAAACTCACACAAATAGGTAAATTAACCATCCAAACAACTAATCTATAAAATTTCTAGAGTTATACTGTCTAATATGACAGAGCAAATTTCTAAAAGTTCCGGTTTTATGCTCCGCTGCTATATCACTCTCTGGTAGTTGACTGAGGCTCCCTCACCCCTGTGGGTTTTGTTTTTTTTTCCCCCAATATATAGCCTTGGATTCACTTCTCTGCACCTCTTACCTTGCAAAAAGTGTTCACTTTTCTATTTATAGGATTATAGCAATTCTTAGATCCGTTTGAGTTTGCAAGAATTCAGAATGATTTGATAGCTATCTAGCTGAATTCCAGGGACAAATGAAACTAGGGTTCCCTATTCCTCCACCATCCTCCCAAGAAGCTGAATTTTCATTCTTCTTGCATGTCTTCTTGATATGTTTGTTTTGAACAGGCATTTTTGAGTTCTGTTTCCTCTTCTTTCCCTTCTACATTTACTTTTGTCTAGTAGGATTCCTGTTGCCTCTGTCTGCTTCATCAGCATCCACCCTGTCATATAAGAATCAAGTATAAAAATAGTAGTTTAGATTAAGGATATCAAAGATTAAGTCAGTGAGGGGCACCTGGGTGGCTCAGTGGTTGAGCGTCTGCCTTTGGCTCAGGGCATGATCCTAGGGTCCTGGGATCAAGTCCGGCATCAGAATCCCCCCAGGGAGCCTGTTTCTCCCTCTACCTATGACTCTGCCCTCTCTCTCAGTGTCTCTCATGAATAAATAAAATCTTAAAAAAAAAAAAAAAGATTAAGCCAGTGAGTAAGTTGCTTACTTGTTTCATTTCCTGTGCTTGAGACCTTAATCAGAGTCCTACCTTTCTTAGTTTGCAACTTTCTAAAAATCTTAAAATATTGTCTTAAAATAATCTCAAACTTTATAATCTCTTTTTAGAAGCTAAGGTAGTACATTCCAACCCATTGCTTCAAGCAATGAAATAGTTTCATTTGAGTGGAGCACTATTCATTCTTGTTATTTCCTGGAAACCTGAGTCTTGGCTGTCACTGCCTGATTTCAGACTCAGAATTGAGTAGGCCCATAGCTTTGCATTTCTGTTTAGTTTCTATTCCATAAATCTAGATATGCCTATTTGTTCACTTTATCTATTATTGCTCCTACTTTAGAACACCTCTAAAGAAAATACAGTTAGCTGACCCTTTTTAAAGTTTGACTCCACTTTTTGTGATGTGATACAATATGAAGTAAACATAACCCGTGAATTATTCTTGCCAAAAATGTTAACTAAACCTTTAGATGCAATGATTAATTTAACTGAAAATCTAGAGGATACAGATATATTTAAAGAGCATTTTAGGGGGTGCCTGGGTGGTTCAGTCAGTTAGGTGTCCAACTCTTGATTTCGACTCAGGTCATGATCTCAGGGTTGTGAGATTGAGTTCCATCTTGGGCTCCATGCTCAGCAGGAAACTGCTTGAGATTCTTTCCCTCTGCTCCTCTCTGCACACATGCTCTCTCACTGAAAAACAACATTTTAGGGAAACACAGATCCAGAATGTAAGACATTCTAAAACAAAACTGGCTGGACTCTTCAAAAACTCAAAGGCATTTCAAAGAAACAATAATTCTAATTTAAAAGAGATGAGGAAAAAACCAAATGCAGTGTATGAACCTTAATTGAATTTTTGTTCAAAAAAACACAACAACATGAAAAAGAGGTTTGACTCTTACAACTCAATGATAAAAAGGCAAATAACCCAAATTTTCAAATGGGCAAAATATCTGAATAGACATTTCTCCAGAGAAGATCTAAAACTGGCCAATAAGCCCATGAAAAGATACTCAATATCATTAGCTGTCAGGGAAATGCAAAACAAAACCACAGTGAGATACCCCTTCATACCCACTAGGATGGCTAAAATGAAAAAGATAAATATTAACAAGTGCTGACAAAGGTGTGGAAAAATTGGAACCCTCATGCACTGTTGGTAGAAATATAAAATGATACAGTTGCTTTTGGTTCATAAACATGCTTAGAGTAGCAAAAGATCTGAGTCATCTCTCAGCCAAGGTTAAACAAAGCAACACTCTGGCTTCTTGTTTTCAGCTTTATGCTATAAACAGGTGTCCTTTTCACAGTTTAGTGGATGCCACATTTTTCACTTTTAATGGATGCCACATTTTCACATCACATGTTTTGTTCGTGATTTTGCTGTTTTAAAATGGCACCTAAGAATAGTACTGAAGTGCATTGTTTTCCGAACCAGGAGCAGTGATTATGTATTTGCTAATTCAATGTTCACAGCAACTTTATAGAATATAACTATCGAAAATAACAAGAATTGACTATACATGAGATAACCAGGATAGACAAACCTATAGAGACAGTAATTAGATTAGTTGTTGCCTGGGATTGGGAATAGAACAGGGAATGAGTAGTAATTGCTAATGAATTTGGGATTTCTTTCTGGGATGATGAAAATGTTCTGGAATCACATAGGTTGATTCTCTGTGAATATACCAAAAAACCACTTAATTTTATACTTAATAGCTGAGTACATGATATATGAATTTTATCTTAAAGCTATTTAAAGACTTTTGAGGATAATGGATATATGTTGAATATCAATTGGATAATAATATGGAATTGTTCATTTTTAGAGATGGGAAAATAATGTGGTTTTGTATGAAATACATGCTGTGGTATTTAAATAATGTATCAAGTCTACAAGTTACTTTCAACGGTTCAAGAATTTTTTAAAAACTAGAGAGAAAACGTGACAAAACAATAGCAGTTGTTGAATCTAGATAGAAGGAATGTGGGTATTGTACCTTCAACTTTTTTTTCTAAGTTTTTCAAAATAAAAAGTTAGGTCGGAAGACTTTGGGCACATTCAGCACTGAATATACAAATCTTCTGTTACTCTCAGTCATAGGCCTGTTTAGTTCTTATTTTGCTGGTTGTAACCAAAAGACAAACCATATGTGGACACTGTACTTGTCTATATGTCAGAAATAGCATTCAAACCAGAGAAGAGGGATCCCTGGGTGGCACAGCGGTTTAGCGCCTGCCTTTGGCCCAGGGCGCGATCCTGGAGATCCGGGATCGAATCCCACGTCGGGCTCCCGGTTCATGGAGCCTGCTTCTCCCTCTGCCTGTGTCTCTGCCTCTCTCTCTCACTGTGTGCCTATCATAAATAAATAAAAATTAAAAAAAAAAACAGAGAAGAGTAAGAGGGAAACTTTTATTTTTTTCTTATTAAGTATTTACATTTATTTCCTTATAATTTTTAAACTAACATATTCATCAAAATTTATAAAATAGAGGAAATATAAAGAAAATCTGTGTTAATAGTCCGGGTGATATATGTATTTTAAATATTCACTAAAGAGAGACTTAAGCATAGTGTTTGTATCAGTACCTATAATATGCTATGTAATGTACTAGGTGATGAAAAGTTATCCAATCCCAAGGATAACTCCTGTACCTATGAGGAGCTTTCCTTGTAGAAGAGGCAGACATGTATAGGAATGTAAGATGCTATATAATGATGGACAAAGAATTGTGAGAAGGACTTCTGATGGCAGAAGAAGTAATTTAGAAAAAAAAATCCTGAGGACAAATAGAAAAGCTAAGAAGAATATAAGAACATCTCCTTGAATGCATTATAGAGCAAATAAGAAGATAACGATTTATGGAGCCAGATCCAGAAAAAGATGGGAATCCACAAAGGTGAGAGTGGATTCCCATAAAGCTGCTGGTGAGGAACGCCTGGGTGGCTCAGTGGTTGAGCTCAGGTCGTGATCCCGGGGCCCTGGGATTGAGTCCCCCATTGGGCACCCCACAAGGAGCCTGCTTCTCCCTCTGCCTATGTCTCTGCCTCTCCCTGTGTCTCTCATGAATAAATAAATAAATCCTTAGAAGAAGAAGGAAAAGGAGAAGAACTACTACTACTACTACTACTACTACTACTACTGGTGATTCCAAAAGAAGCAGTTTAGATGATGAAAAGCTAGTTGAAGAACACTTTTGACAGACTCTTGGAGCATGGTTAGAGTCTAGTCTTCCAAGAGAAAGTGCTGAAAAATTACCCATATCTTGTATTATGACCCTGAAAAGATACCTCTAGGTATGAGGGTAGAAAGGAACCAGACAGCCCTTACAGGAACATAAGCCCAGCTTTAAATCATCTTAGTTCCTGTAATTAGATTAAGGATATCATAGATTGATAACAGCCTGTCTGAAGTAGAGGATAGTTAAGAAACCAGTATCCAGAAGGAAATATATTTGGAGGAAGAGAACATCATTCAGAGTCTCAAATTCTTGCTTCAATTCTTCATGTATGTCTGATGCATAAGCAAAACCAAATAACAGGACCCAGAAGGACATTAGATAACAATAGCAACTAAGTAAAACAACAGATTCATAGGCTTCAGAAAATGGAGTTACCAAAGGGACTTTTAAGTTGAAGGAAGAAGAAAACATAAGGAATTTTGGCAGATATTTGGAAACTATTAAAAGGAAAAGGAATATATAGAACTAAAAATTACAATAACCAAAATTATGAACTCATTGGGTTTAACCACAGATTAGACATTGCTACAGAGAGAATTAGTGACTTAGAGCATGTTCTGTAACTACTGAGAGTATGGACTGGCTGTGGTTTTTCAGACAATGAAATAGCAGTCTATAAGATAATGAAACTGTGGCCAGGATGTAAAGCAACATTGACAATGAGACACTATTTAGTTTAATTGGCATTAAGAATTCACTGATTTACATTATAGTACAAGATACTTATTTTGTGGTAGATTGACTCTTGAATAGCAGTGACTGAAGGATAAGAAAATATCCAACATTATCTTTGCACAAGGAGACAAAAGTACGGAAAAGACAGAAGGGAAGGGGAAGAAATTTAGGGGATGAGGCAAGGTATAATTTACAAATAGGGACGATGAATAGTCCTGTAATTATTAAAGCAGTGCTTTTTCAGGGCACCTGGGTGGCTCAGTCGGTTAAACATCTGCCTTCAGCTCAGGTCATGATCCCAGGGTGTTGGGATTGAGTCCTGGGTCAGGCTCCTTGCTCACCAGGGAGTCAGCTTCTTCCTCTCCCTGCTGCTCCTCCTGCCTGTCCTGGCTGTCTCTATCTCTCTCCATTAAATAAATAAATAAATAAATAAATAAATAAATAAATAAATAAATAAATAAATAAATAAATAAATAAATAAATAAATAAATTTCTTTTTTAAATAAATAAATAAAGCAGTGCTTCTCAAAATATTTGTACTTATAGCCAGTACTTTTATAAAATACAGTTAAAATATAGCAATTCAGATTACTTAAACAAATCTCATTTGTACTTCACTCATTATAGATCAGTACATATGATTCATAAATTAGCCCTGTCCACAGACCATATTTTAAGTGGCATGATACTAAAGAAATTGAATTCATAATTAAAATCATAATCATGATAGTTGCTGAGAAATAATTTGATAAAATTCAGTGTTCATTCATGAAAAAAAAAAAACTCTTAGCAAATAGAAATAGAAAAGGAACTACTAAATTTACAACAACCCTGCAGCAAACTTAATAATCAATGGTGAATATTGAGAACCTTCCCTTTAAAATCAGGAACAAGACAAGAATCCCTGTTATCACTTCTATTCAGGATATCAAGCTGTAAGAATTGAAAAAGAAGAAATAAACCTACCATTATTCATATACAATCTGATTGTAAATCCTTAAGATTTTTGAAAATCCAGAAGAATCAAAAGCAAGATTGCTGGATACAAGGACTATATTCAAGAAATCTATAATTTATACATAACAGTATCAAAGTGAAATTCTAGAAGACACCATTTACAATAGCATCAAAAAATACCAAATATATGTGAATAAATTTAGAGAAAACCTGCCACATGGAAACTATAAAACATTATGGAGACTCAATAAAGTTATTTTTAAAAACCATTATTGAGGAAAATCTTTTAGAGAGCTAATAAATGTTAGTTGAAAGTCTATTATAAAAATGTGACTTAAACTAATCTACAGATTCAGTGTAATCCCAGACAATCTCAGTAGGGTTTTTTGGGGGGAGAGGGTGTAGAACTTCAAGCTCTGATTCTAAAACGTATATGGAAATTCAAAGGGTCAAATAGCTAAAACACTCTTGAAGAACATTGTAGGAGGACTTGTTTTATTTGATGCTAAGACCTCCTATAAAAGTGTAGTAATTGGGCAGCCCTGGTGGTGCAGCGGTTTAGTGCTGCCTGCAGCCCGGGGTGTGATCCTGGAGACCTGGGATCGAGTCCTACGTCGGGCTTCCTGCATGGAGCCTGCTTCTCTCTCTGCCTCTATCTCTCTCTCTCTCTCTCTGCATAAATAAATCTTTTAAAAAAAAAGTAATTAAGATAGTACCATTTAGGTGCAAGCAAAGACAGATACATAGTTGTAACTAACTCTGAGAAAATAGATTGAAGATCTGCTAATAATGCCAGCATAACTAAACAAGAAAATAGAGTTTAGTCAGCTATTTTACTTGTCCATTTTGTTTAAAGACTGAGATTCTGTAAGCATGTGGGTATTAGACTATTCCTTATTCTTATATCTTCAACAAATCTGTCATGAACACTGGATATGTAAGAAGTATTTTATAGTTACTTTGAATTGAATTTATTATGTGCTTTATTTGGTTTTAGATCTGCTGATTTGGGTCCTACTTTATTGACAAGACCTGGACAACCAACACTTACCAGAGTGCCCCCACCTATTCTTCCAAGGCCATCACAGCAGACAGGAAGCAGCAATGTGAATACTTTCAGGCCTGCTTACAGTTCATTTTCTTCAGGATATGGTGCCTATGGAAATTCATTTTATGGAAATTATAGCCCTTATAGTTATGGATATAATGGGTTGGGCTATAACCGCCTCCGGGTAGATGATCTGCCACCCAGTAGATTTGTTCAGCAAGCTGAAGAAAGCAGCAGAGGTGCATTTCAGTCCATTGAAAGTATTGTGCATGCATTTGCCTCCGTCAGTATGATGATGGATGCTACCTTTTCAGCTGTCTATAACAGTTTCAGGGCTGTATTGGATGTAGCAAATCACTTTTCCCGATTAAAAATCCATTTCACAAAGGTTTTTTCAGCTTTTGCATTAGTCAGGACTATTAGGTATCTTTATAGACGGTTACAGTGGATGATAGGTTTAAGAAGAGGCTCTGAGAATGAGGACCTATGGGCAGAAAGTGAAGGAACTGTGGCTTGCCTTGGTGCTGAGGACAGAGCAGCTAACTCAGCAAAATCCTGGCCAATATTCTTGTTCTTTGCTGTTATCCTTGGTGGTCCTTACCTCATCTGGAAACTGCTGTCTACCCATAATGATGAAGTAACAGGTAAGAGTAAAAGAATGCATTCAAAAACCACATAACAATCTCAAATTTCAAGAATAGATTTATTAAATTAGCATTCTTCATAGTCATTTGTATTTAATATTTTGATCCAGCTATATTTTCAGTTAAGAACTTGAAAACTAGAAAATGAGTATGTAGCAAAAATAAGTTTATTGATTTATTTATTGTTTGTTAACAAAACAGTACACATTGCCTGACTACTGTTTACAATATACTGAACTTAATACTGTAGAGGATACAAAGATACATAGGACATAATTCCCTTATCTTTCTAAAACTTACTGACCGGGAAGTAGATAAGAATATACAGGTAATTGTAATTTTGAGCTTAAAGAAAAAGAAAGTTCATAATCAATCGATATCGAAGTGAACATATTGTTGGATTTTATGCAGTGTTATAGAATTTACTTTGGGGGGTACTTTTCTCTTGGGAAGTAGATTTATGGAGTTTACAAATCATAGTCATAACTCTTAATTCTTAATTTGGTTTGTAGACAATACCAACTGGGCAAGTGGTGAGGATGACCACGTAGTTGCTAGAGCAGAATATGATTTTGCTGCTGTATCTGAAGAAGAAATTTCTTTCCGTGCTGGTGATATGCTAAACTTAGCTCTCAAAGGTAACAAAACATGAATAAATTGGAATTATCCATGAATTTTTTGAATTTGTAAATGTAGTATTAAAAACTGCAAAAAAGGATCTTGTTCATTGTTAGTTAACTCAGAAGTAGTTGCTAGAATTTCTCTTTTCGTGTCAGTTTAGAACTTCCAAACCTGAGGGTGTGGGGGAGAAATGCCCAACAGAGTTGTTACAGTAATATTTCACTGAGATAGGGAAAGATTTTGTTTATATCATCTCTTCTAAACTCAAAACCTGAATTCCAAGCCCTGTTAACCCCTACACAAAAACATGAGGAGGAAAAAAAAAAAAACAAAAGACAAAAAACCATGAGGTAAGCACTATGTGTAATAAATCTAACAACCCAAAGAAATTATCCAGTGTCATGTAAGTATCCCTGTCAGTCTTTGACTGCTTGGACTGGTATTGCTTTCTTTTCTATTTGAATGGCGTTTACTTCAGAAACACCAACATGAACATTTTAGGAATTACTGTCATGAATTTTTAAAGAATCTCAGCAAGAAATTTCTACATATCTCAGGTTTATTTTTGGACTAGGACACTAATAGTTTTTAATGGCTCCAGGCAAAATGGCTTTTTTCCTTAGCTTTCCCCAGTAATGATGATCAAAATTTTTAATGAATTGGCGTTGGGAGGGGGGTTGTGTGTTTGTGGGGATTCAGGTTTGCTAGGAAAAATAACATTTTGTTGGTAAAGATACTAATGACAGTAACAGCTGTCCTTTATAGTACAAGGCACTATAGTTTAGATCCTGCATTTAACCCTTACAAAAATGATATGAAGTGGGTACTATTATTGTACTGTCTCTGTTTTACTTACAAAAAAAACTAAGACTCAGAATAACTAAATTGTCCAAGATCACAAAGCTAAGATGTGATGGAGCAGGACTATGAACCTAGGTTTATCTGACTTCAGAACCTATACTTGTAAGGGCCTGGGCTGTTTCCTATGTGATCTTTTAATGGAAACTTGAACCTTTAATTAGTGTAATCATTTTTTATATGGGGAAAAATACCTTCAGTGTGCAAATTGTTTATTATATAAATAATTGAAAAATTTGGGTCAAATCTGCTAAATCTATGCTTCATCCCTCATACATAAAACCTAGGTTTCTAAATATTATATTTTTCTTCTGGTGAAAATAGCAGTTAACTATTTTGAATTTCAAAAGAATAATTCCATTTTAAGATTTATTGTTAGAATTAGGACTTATAAGAATAATTAGTTTTAATGTAAAGTATAAAAAAGATAGGGATCCCTGGGTGGCGCAGCAGTTTGGCACCTGCCTTTGGCCCAGGGCGCGATCCTGGAGACCCGGGATCGAATCCCACGTCGGGCTCCCAGTGCCTGGAGCCTGCTTCTCCCTCTGCCTGTGTCTCTGCCTCTCTCTCTCTCTCTCTCTCTGCGTGTGACTATCATAAATAAATAAAAAAATTAAAAAAAAAAAGATCAAGTCTGGTTTCTTTCAATTACATATAATATTTCAGGAAAATTTTATATCTAAAATTATTCTTCCACTAATGATGCCTCTTAACACTTTAGCTTTGCTTCTTTTCTCCATTGCTCACGTAACGTACATCTGAGCATTTAGAACAAAATCAGTCACAAATATGGTCCATTTTGCTTTTTTTTTCTCTATAGTAGAGTATTAACATAATGTTATATTGTACCTGACTTACACTGCTGAACTAAAATGAGAGACAGCTTTTTAAAGATACCAAAATACAAAATTGAATATATTAAGTAAATCTTTCCTACTTCAAGCTTAAAGTATTGCCTTACCTTTTTTGTCACATGTCTAGAGATAACTGAGGTCTTTATTTTTCCTCATCTTGGATTAAAATCCACAGCATTCACTATCTTCGGAATTGTTTGTTCATCACAGGGGCACTTGGCTGGCTCAGTTGTTTAAGTGTTGGACTCTTGATTATCAGCTCAGGTCTTGATCTCAGGATTCATGAATTCAAGTCATGCCAACATGGAGCCTACTTTAAAAAAAAAAAAAGGTTCATCACAATCACATAGAATGAGTTTTATATTTTAGCCAAAAGTATATAAAGAATCTGGCTGTATAAAGGTATATATTTTCTATACTTGCTTCTAAGTTCTATTGAAAAGAAATGAGAAATTCATTTCTTAAATTTCAATTTAAAATATGAAAGACACTGATGTTAGTTTTAGCTTTTGGGAGAATGAATCTCCTTACTCTATGACTGGTCCAACTGATATAAACTTCATGTTCTTCAAAGTTGAAAATATATTTAGTAAGTATAAAGTAAAAAGTATAAATTATAAGAAGGGACCCTAGAACTGTTAAGTCTACTCATCATTTGATTTTGAATGTATATACTGTTTGTTTATATATTTTAGTGTGTAAATATAACACAGATTTTATATAATATTTTATTATCGATATTGTGTTGGACTCCAAAGTGTGTGTTATAATTACAAGGCTGTCTTTTCTTCCATCAGAACAGCAACCCAAAGTGCGTGGTTGGCTTCTGGCTAGTCTTGATGGTCAAACAACAGGACTTATACCTGCTAATTATGTAAAAATTCTTGGTAAAAGAAGAGGTAGAAAAGCAGTGGAATCCAGCAAAATTTCCAAGCAGCAACAATCTTTTACCAACACAACACTAATTAAAGGAGCCACGGCTGCTGATTCTTTGGATGAACAGGAAGCTGCCTTTGAATCTGTGTTTGTTGAAACTAATAAGGTTCCAGTTGCACCTGATTCCACTGGAAAAGGTGGAGATAAACAAGATCTTTGATATCTTTCATGTTTGCCTGCAATCAAACTAGACTTTTTAAAAATTACTTCTTACAAAGAAATTAATCTACAATCTGATGAGCACATTTGTTAATGGCTATTCCAGGTGTTTTGCTGCTAGAAATTATTAAAGTTGTACACTAGTATGTTGGTCTAGTGACCTGGTTACATTTTACAAGTTATTGGACCATGAGGATATTTGTTTCACCTAAATTTTAAGATTATGGAGACTGCTGTCATTTTCATCTTCTTTAAAATCCTATGTTTATGGAAAGTAAAATTGATGAACTATAGAATACACTGTTTGCTACAGTAGGGGTCTTTAATGCTTTTTAAAGTTAGAGCTTAATTGATTTGGAATCCTCAGAAATTGAACGATAACATATAAATATGAGAACAAGCAAAAAGCTACTTTTTTTTTTTTTTACAACTTTAAACTGAATAATAAAAATTTTATGATCTGTGTTATATCCAGTCTTGGGTTTGCTTTAGGCAGTAATATGTCTTTACCTACCAACAATTGATACCTTTTATTGTATTTTTAAAAACTTACCTTGCAAAGGTCACTAGAAGTATTCTGAAGGAGATGGTTCTAGAGTGATATTTAACCCTTAAAGGTTTTCCTGCTAGTAAAAAGGCTAAGGCTGAAATTTATCTTTCTTACAGATTATTTCCATTTCTTCTGAGGATCATAGAACTTTTTATCCCTTTACAATATGCCTAGATTTCATCCTGCATAAATCAGAATATATGCTAGATTCGTTTTCTTTTTCTCTAGCCAAGACCCAAATCCTTTGAGTTTGCACGTAACAGAATAATCAGTTCTAGCATTAATGATTTAAGTCTTTTCATGGATTCTCTTTTCCCTAGTATAATTACTTTTTAAATTCCATATTCAGGATGTTCTTTAAACATTGAAAATGTGTCACATTGCATATACATTTCTTTTAGGTTTAGTTTTTACCACTGAGACTATAAATAAAATGTTGAATTGTCATTTAGTGTATGATAATGCTATATGACTTGTTTTGTGTTTAATAATGACTTTAAATGCAGTTAAATTTCAGTACACTGAATATTTCCCCCACAAAATTGGAAAATCCATATACTTGCTGTGATCATACTACAAAATAATACTGTCAGGGATACAGGTGTACAAGAATACATTTACAGATATTATTTAAAGCCTGGAACTATTTGAAACAGATTTTGATTATTTTCATCTTCTTATAGACTTTATGTTCATCAAATCAGTAATTCTAAAACAGTTCACACAAAAACATGTAAGGACCAAATTCTATACTCAGCATAGAATTTTAGTAAAGGCTTTTGGGAACCTGTCTTTTGAAATGACAGTATAAGTAACATAATTTTTTTTTAATTTTTTATTCATTTATTCATGAGAGACACAGAGAGGGAGAGAGAGGCAGAGACACAGGCAGAGGGTGAAACACGCTCCATGCAGGGAGCCTGACATGGGATTCGATCCTGGGACTCCAGGATCACGCCCCGGGCCAAAGGCAGGCACCAAACTGCTGAGCCACCCAAGGATCCCCCAAATAACATAATTTAAATTGGTCATAATTGACCCCGTGCTGAAAAAAAAAATAAGTAAAATTTATCTTAGGACTGTTTTTTAACACCCAGATATTATTTACTCTTCAAGTTGAGATAAAGTTTCTTGTATATTATTTTACATTTGTGTTCTACAATTAGAGGTTCTGCTTTTTTGTTGTTGTTAGAGTTAAATTTATGAAAATTTTGTCCTTGAAATAATTTTCGATAAAACAGATTATTAAATTTGGGTTGAGACATCAAAATTGCTAGAAGTGAAGTGGGGATGAAATGTTGAGTCAGCTCTATTTAGGTTAGAAAAGGCAAGTCTCTAGCACAGAATTTGTGACTACGATTAAAGGTACATAAGACGATTAAAGGTACATAAGACGAGTATAGCACAGAATGAATGACAAAAACAGTTTCACTTTTCTTAGGGTGTTTGTTTTTTGGCTAAGTATACTAAATTGTGATATCTGTTATCGACAGGTAACTTTGACAGGTAACTTTGGTAACTTTGTTGTCTAAAAATTCCTTTTCTACTTGAACTCTGGGAAAGGAATTTAGAATAAGCAGAGAAGTTTTGTAGCCTTTTTTTTATCATTACAGTTTTAGTATAATTTATTAGATGAGATGTAATGTTCACAGCTCTAATATTGTTATTTTCAGGAACTTACTTAAGTACTACTTTACAAAAATTACTAACTGAAGCCAAAACATTTTCAATTAAATGGAACAGTAAATCACAAGTCACAGTAAGAAAACAGATTTCATGTAAATTATTATTTTCTGATTGTATTTTGTCAGTTTAGAATGGAAAAGGTAAGAGGACTAAACATTTTCATATTTTAACATTTTATTTTGGGTACTTGATTTAGTCTGTCATTATGTCATAATTATATATTTACTTGAATACAGATGTCCTTTATTTTATGCTATCTTTAATGGAAAATAGCACAGAAGTTGTTCTTCAGTTAAAATTTCATTCTTAATAGATTGTGAAGTTACTTTTACTGGACAAATAAAAATATATTAAGCTTGGTTGACATTTTTTGAAGATAAACTTAACTCTTTTTGCAGGATTGCAATTAATATAAAAAGTATCTTTTTCTTCATATCGTGTGTATTAACTACTGCAAACCAATTTGTTCTATTTTTTGTGATTTAAAGAAAAATAACATTTACATTTATGTAAAAATTACCTAGAAGGTTATAAATAAAAACAAGACCAAAAAAAAAAAACAACAACAACAAGACCACAAGTTCAGGTTTTGAGAAATCTAGATGTTAGTCTGGATACCACTATGAACTCACTATAAGATTTAACTACATTAATTTTTAGTTTCCTCAGTGACAACATTGGAGACAGCTGCTACATCTGCCTCATGTGAGAGTGCTCTTAAAAAATGAAAAGCAAAATCAAAAGTACGATGTTACAGCAAGTATCAGTTTTTTAAATTTTTCTGTGTATATCGAAACTTCTTAAATCCTGTAAAAATGTTACAAAGGATTTATATCTTGTCTAGAATTTCAGAATTGCATATACTAAATTAAAAATCAAAATTCACTTGTACTTATAACTTTGCCCAAAATGTAGTTTAAAATTATTTTGCTGGGGATCCCTGGGTGGAGCAGCGGTTTATCGCCTGCCTTTGGCCCGGGGCGCGATCCTGGAGACCCGGGATCGAATCCCACATCGGGCTCCCGGTGCATGGAGCCTGCTTCTCCCTCTGCCTGTGTCTCTGCCTCTCCCTCTCTCTCTGTGTGACTATCATAAATAAATAAAAATTAAAAAAAATAAAATAAAATAAAATTATTTTGCTGAGAGAATGGCCTGAGAAAAAAACACATTGGAATATTTATTCAACACAAGAAATTTTGTCTTTTCAGCATTGCCTTGAAATGTTCTTTCATATTAGTTTTTATTTAGCTTATCTTATTTGGGAGAATGAACTATTTCTTTTAAACTCAGCAAATGCATAAATCCTGTAGAATACTTACATATTATGCCCTGTGAATAGTTTTTCACATTTAAAGAAATCATGTTTAACTTAAGTCTTTTTTTTTAATAATAAATTTATTTTTTATTGGTGTTCAATTTAACCTAAGTCTTAATGGTGTTTCTACTCATGTAAAGTGTTTTGGTTTATAAGGATCTAAGTTGTTCAGAATGAGTCAGTCCTTGATCATATTCTTTATGAAGCCAATATCAATGGTCTAGAAAAGCTACACTTTTGTTCTGTTTTATTTCACATTAATAGTTTTTATTTCTCTCCTGCCTGCAATTCCATACTCCTTATTCCCTACTATATTTAATGTTTATCCTTCCAGGTCTTTTCCCAAAATTTAGGTATATTTCCTTGAAAAACTATATATTATATGTTTTCTATGTAAATGATACTGTGGTATAAATCTCATTTTGCTTGTAACTTCCATAAAATATTAGGTTTTAAGACCTATTCCTGTTACCTTATATAACATGCTTCTGACTGGTGCATATTCTACTGCATTTGCATACCATAGCTGATCTTTTCCTCTAATCATAAATACTTAAGTTGTTCCCAGCTGTTCCACCTTCTCCAAACTTGTACATGTCTTCCTATGAACCTGCCCTGTAATTTCTGTGGGATATATGTCCCAGAGTAGAATGGCTTGGGTTTGGGGTATATGCAAACTTAATGTCAGGTAAGTGATGCTTAAATTTTTCTCAGGAGTGGTTGTACTACTTCACACTTGGACCAGCAAGACGTGAGGGATTCATTTTATCTGCATCTTCAGCAGCATTTGACATTTTCTGATTTTTGTTAGTCTGATATGTGTGAAGCTGTGTTTTGCCTTAATCTGCATTGTCTGATTATTGAGACGATGCATATGCTTTTTAGTCATCCTGGTTTTCCATTCTGTGGAAAATACTATACTTACAAGTTGCCCCTTTTTTGTTAGGTTTTTCCCTTTCTTGCTGATTATGTAGTACAAGAATTTTTTTTAATATTCTTGACATGATATTCTCTTGTCTGGCTCAGACATTGCAAATAACTTAGTCTTGTCATTTGTTAATTCTTGTCTTTGGTGTCCTTCATGGAATAGAAATCTTTAATTTTCCCAGTTGAGCTTTTTAGGGGTTGTTCTTCTATCAGATTTATAGTTTCACCATTTACATTTAGGTCTTTAATTGGAATTTATTTTTGGGTATAGTATGTGGCATGAAGCCAACTTTTTCTCCAGCTAGTCATTAAGGGAGAAAGGTTAACAAAACCCCTTCTCTCTATGTATGGGAAAATGATCTTGGTTTTACATTCTCCTTACTACAATTTCCTTGGAAATCTATTGAGTCAAGATAAATATGGAATGCTAGCTGCTTACTCAGCAACATTTTTCTCTTGTACAGGCTTTGAGACTTCACTGAGTAAGGTAGGGCTGGTAACTGAGCTTGTTCCTCATTGCAGAGACCTAGAACCTACTGTCAAGGATTTTTACAAGATAGCGGTTCCTGTGGCACATGAGGCTTACCAAGGAGAATGCCTTCCTCTACATGATATGTTTACAGTGGTATATGCTTCTGTCAAGCTAAGTGACGTTGATACCAAGTTATATCCTTTTGGGTCCTGTGACTGTCTGCTGGGCATGTGGAGTAGGATTGTAGTCCAGTTTTCTAACCATCTACCTAATAATACATATTTTCCCCATTTCATTATATAGCAATTATCTGTAAACATGAAATTTTGAGGCTCTGCTCTGTTCTATTGATATATGTCAGTTCCTTTCCTAGTACAACACTGTCCTGATTAAGGTTACTTTGTAATATGTCCTAATATCTAACAGGTGAATCTGTTTTGGCCTACTTTTTAAATTTTTATTTTGTCCTAGTTTGTGAAAATTACCTTAGCTGTTTATAGATTTTTATTCTTTCAAGTTACAGTATCAGTTTATCAAGTTATTTTTTTTAGAAAAGCTGTTGACATTTTTATTGGAATTACATTGAATTTTTTTTTACATTGAATTTATAAGTTAATTTAGAGAGAATTGACCTAAGGTCAAATCATCCCATTTATTAACATAATTTCTCCATTTAGGACGTTATGTATATGTGTGTTTGTTGGTTTCCTGTTTGTCTCTGTTGTTTTGGTTAGTTCCAAGGGACTATAAATTTTGTTACCTTTGAAAATGGTGTTCTCTTATTTCTGGCACAGGAAATGCATTGAACTTAGTGTGCTGATCTTGTGTTTTCAGTTTTGATGAATGCTTATTCTAATATTGATTCTCTTGGATTGTCTATGTAAATTCAAATAATGACAGTCTTACCTCTTCCTTTTCAATCCTTGTGCTTCTCATTCTCTGTTTTGACTAGGTTGCCAGTCTGTATTGGACAGTGGCTGTGGTAGCAGGCATTTTTATTTTTTTCTACCTGAAGAGTCTAAAGTTGCTCTGTTAAATGTGATATTTGCTGTGAGTTTTATGCTAGTTAATTTTTCATTAAAAGTCTCCCCCCTTTTTTTATTTAAGATTTTATTTATTTATTCATGAGACAGAGAGAGAGAGAGAGAGAGACCGAGACACAGGCAGAGGGGAAGCAGGCTCCATGCAAGGGAGCCTGACTTGGGACTCGATCCCAGGTCTCTAGGATCTGGCCCTGGGCTGAAGGCAGTGCTAAACGGCTGAGCCACCAGGGCTGCCCTAAGAGTTCCCTGTTAATGCTAATTTAAATCTACATTTGTTTGGATTGTCTTTTGATTTTTCACCTTCAGTAATAGTAATGTGATGAAGAACGTTGATTTTCTGATACCAAATCATTTTTGCACTCCTGCTTGATAATGGGGGGTTTTTGTATGAAATAATTTGTTTTATCAAAAATATAAAGGAGTATGATAGATGATTAATATAAAAGTGAGGTACTAGCATGCAGAAGCCTACCTGTATTAGAAGGCAGTATTGCTAGTGTTTGATGAGGTATCCCAGGAGATGATAAACTGAAAAGAGGCACTGGATCATAGTCGGGCTCCAGTTTCTCTGAGAATTTATGAGAACCTTTTCTGGAGAAGTCACTGGGCAAGGTCCTGGGGAAATCCTGGGAAACCTAGGCTTATCCACAGTTAGTGTATTTTAAAAAGTGCCTGTTATGAAAACAATATCTGCCTGTAACACAGTCTGGGCTGCTTAGGCTTTCCTGCTTTTAAGTTCCCTGCTTTCTTCTTCTTGTTTTCTGCTTTTAAGTATCCTTCAGTGCTCAAAAGTAGGTCAAAGCAGAATACTTGTGTGTTCTCAAATGAACAGGGGACAGGGCTTGAAGGAAAACAAGGATTTCAGCACATGATTTAGCTAAGCAAGTACAGCTAATAATCTAGGCCAGGTTCACTCAGGCTCTATTAGATTAAAAATATACTGTAAAGAAGGCATCACTCTCCATATGTTTTCTTGAGTCATTGTGCACAAGTCTGAACTGGTGGTTTTCTTTGTTTTGAGGTTTCCACTTTCCTAGATAGTCTTTTTCTCCCCTGTTGTGAATCTTTTATCTTTCATGATTAATATTTTCCTCAGGTTTCTGCTGAACTTTAGTTGTCTTATTATCTTTAAGAATGAGAGACTAGGAGGGGCGCCTGGGTAGTTGAGCGTCTGCCTTTGGCTTGGGTCATGATCTCAGGGTCCTGGCATTCAGCCGCCCCACATCGGGTTCCCTGCTCAGTGGAGTGTATGCTTCTCCCTCTGCCCCTCCCCCTGCTTGTGCTCACTCTCTCTCAAATAAATAAAATCTTTTTAAAAAATGACTTATTTATATATTCATGAGAGACACAGAGAGAGGCAGATATATAGGCAGAGGGAGAAGCAGACTCCCTGGAGGGAGCCCTATGCAGGACTCAATCCCAGGACTCCGGGATCACCCCCTGAGCTGAAGGCAGGTGCTCAACCACTGAGCCACCCATGAGTCCCAATAAATTAAATCTTAAAAAAAAAAAAAAAAAGAATGAGAGACTAGGGGCACCTGGCTGGCTCAGTCAGTAGAGCAAGCATGTGACTCTTGATCTCAGGATCATGAGTTCAAGCCCCACATTGGGCATAGAGCTTACTTAAAAAAAAAGAGAGAGAGACAATGCATCTGATGAAGACCTTGCACAGGCAGGTGGAGCTTGTTGTCTGTGAGCTTTATGTTCAAGCTAGTTTGGAGGCCATGGCATATGATTTGTTACTATTTCCGTGAATTCAATTATCCATCCAGTGTAAGAGTAACCTACCCAACTTACGGAATGTTCAGGAAAAATCGGACAGCATGTTCACTGTAGGTAAGTGATCTAGTGAGAGTGGATCTAGTGAGTGTACATGTGCACAAATCTTCCAAACTCCCTAATCAAACTCTGAGAAGCAAGAAGTGAGGGAGGGTAAGTGGGGGAAAAAAGAAGTACTGTCATTCTGGAGAAATACTTCCATGTGGAAACATGGAGTAGGGAATTCTGTTAGATTGAACAGTGTGTTAGGTTGAACTTTTTAAAGTACTCTCTACACCCAGAGATCAAGAGTAGTCTGCTCTACCAACTGAGCCAGCCAGATGCCCCTGAACTTATATTTTAAATTCATCTTTATATTTGCTTGTTTTTTGTTTTTTGTTTGTCTCCTTACTGCTTCTAAGTGGAGTGAGTATATTTTAAATCTCCATTTGATGGGAGGCCTGGGTGGCTCAGAGGTTGAGTGTCTGCCTTCAGCCCAGGGCGTAATCCTGGGGTCCCGGGATCGAGTCCCACATTGGGCTCCTTGCATGGAGCCTGCTTCTCCCTCTGTCTGTGTCTCTGCTCTCTGTGTGTCTCTTGTGAATAAATAAAAAAATCTTTTTTAAAAATCTCCATTTGATAGCTTCTCATGTTTTTTTAAAAGATTTTTTTTAATATTTTATTTATTCATCAGAGAGAGAGGCAGGCTCCTCACAGGGAGCTGGACTGGGACTCGATCCCGGGACTCGATCCCAGGACTCCAGGATCAGCCCTGGGCCCAAGGCAGACGCTCAATCGCTGAGCCATCCAGGTGTCCCGTTTCTCATCGTTTTATCAGTTTTTATTTCATAAATCTCTGCCACCTTATTACAAGTTTTGTATTTACCATGCTTTGGGGTTCTGTTTTGTTTTTCATAGATAATTTTTTTTCAGGTTTTTTCTTTTTGCTGCAAAAAGCTTTATTGTGTCCATTTGGTCCGTAGCTTGGGGGAGGGCTGCCTCCTGACTGCAGGGAGAGGCCCCGGCACCTGGTGGGGGTAGGGGGGCCGCGGGGGCCCTTCAGAGGCCCCTGGGCTTCCGAGGCTCCCCTTCCCCAGGGACCCTCGCTGCCCCGCGGGGGGAGTTGGCCGGTCGCCCACCTTGTGGTCCCCCTATCATCGTGCCTCGCCAGCAAGGCAGGCGGGGCCTGGTGGGTAGAGCCCAGGACGGGCGCTCCGAAAGGTTCCCCTTGTCGGCACGGCCCGGAGGAGAGCACGGAGATGCATGGTCAGGAGGCGCTCGGCTCCCTTGTGCTCCTGCTCAGGCTACGTGCGGGGGGGGGGGCCTCGGCCTCGGAGCCGCGCCCCCGAGGTAACGGCGGACCCCAGGGGCCGGCCGGGTGCCCTCAGGTGCTTGGACGGCGGCCTCCGCCTCGGAGGACTGGCTCCGAGTTTCCTGAGAGCTCAGGGTTCATCAGTAACAAAGAGCTAAGCTCCAAGTAGGATTTTGGCTGGACCCGGGGGCAGAGGGTGGCTGTTGGCTCCGAAGGTTGCCCTGGAGAAAAGGTGGGTTGGAAGGCGGTTGGTGGCCTGGAGAAGGGGAGCCCCGGGGCTGTTCGGTCCACACACTGCTGACCCAAGAGACAGACCTGCGACCGTAGAGCACGCTGCCTCTTCTTCAGGTTTGAAAGCTATACATTCTATTTTTATGCTTGGTTTGGTTACTTCTAACTCCTAATTTTATTTTCCTCTACCAGTGTTGAAAGTTACCAGTATTGGAGGCCTACAACAACACAAGATTGTTGGCCAACTGTCATCCTCCCTGCTTTCTCCTGCAACCGCTTCTCCCTGTTGGCTCTTCCCTCACCAATGTTGGTATCACTTGAAGTTTTTATTTTAGATTGTTATGGTTAATTTTTTGTATTTAATATTTGCCTAGTTGAATAAACAACTTGTTTGAAGTTACTATTTTCCTTACTTCATATATATGTTTTATTCATTTACTTATATTTTTAACTATAAAACTACTAAAATTGCATGTTTTTAAAAAATCAAATTGTGATTTAAAGAAGGGGGGGATAAATTAATCCCCTCCAGACTCCTGATCCCAGAAGCGATCACATTAAACTTTTTTGCTGCTCTATTTTTACCTTCTTTTTAAAAAATTTATTTGAGAGAGAGTGAGCACAAGTAGGGGGAGGAGCAGAGAGAGGAGAATCAGACTCCCTGCTCAGCAGGGAGTAGGACATGGAGCTTGATCCCAGCATTCTGAGATCATGACCTTAGCTGAAGGCAGATGCTTAACTGACCGAGCCACTCAGGCACCCGTTTTTACCTTCTTTCTAAATAATGTGCTCATCCTGCTATTTATTACCAATTTTAGAAGTTGTCTTAACCTGTCTCCTTCCTACCCCCTGTGGAGAATTTGACTGCCTTACACGACTATCCCACAATTCCTTTGCAGTCATTTCAGACTTAGAAATGGAAGTACTGTGTCAGGAATGGCAAAGCAGCTATGCCAGTTCTGGAGCACCCCTTTATTATAATTTGAGAAAGAAACTTTGTGTTTAAGCCACTGTATTTAGGGTTTGTGTTAAAGCAACTGAGTCTGTACTAAAACTAATAGGATAGATGAGCTTATGAACATAAAAGGGTTAGACTTGGTGAGGAGGGGGAAGTAGATGGAAGTCTTAGGTAAAATTACCCATTCTGCATAAAAGGCCTCAGAAGGAACATCTGTACAAGGCTAAAGATTCTTCCTTGGGCAAGGGTCACTGAACCTAATGAATTGGGTATTTGACCTTGGACAAGTCACTTAAACTTTCTCTGATCTTGGAATAAAATGATTGGGGGCATCTGGGTGGCTCAGTGGTTGAGCATCTGCCTTTGGCTCAGGTCGTGATCCCCGGATCCTAGGATCGAGTCTCATATCAGATTCCCCACAGGGAACCCGCTTCTCCCTCTGCCTATGTCTCTGCCTCTCTCTCTGTCTGTCTCATGAATAAATAAATAAAATCTTAAAAAAAAAAAAAAAGATTGAAGGGATGCCCAAGTAGCTCAGTGGTTGAGTGTCTACCTTCAGCCCAGGGCGTGATCCTGGAGTCCCAGGATCAAGTCCCACATCAGGCTCCCTGCATGAAGCCTGCTTCTCCATCTGCCTATGTCTCTGCCTCTCTCTCTCTCTCTGTCTCTCATGAATAAGTAAATGTTTTTTAAATGATTTAAGAAGTCCATCTTTCAAGGATTCTTTCTTGCTCTGTCATTCTGTAAAGGCCCTCTAGGAAAGATGAGAGTGATGAGAAAAAGCTTCAAACATTAAGTACCTGATTGATCCCTCAGAGATGGCATAATATAATAGTATGTGGATCAACAGCAAGAGGAAATGTTATGAACGGGGTCCAGTAGTAGAGTTCCATTCTCTAGCTCTGCTTGCAAACTGGTTTTTAACTGATTTCATTTCTTTTTATTGGACTTTGCTAAAAGCAAGGAGTGTCAGCCAGCACAAATTTGCATTCTGACCTTTTCTAAGCTTTCCTCAGAGCTATAGGCCTGATAATCTGCCTTCCAAGTTAACATAAATGACACTTCCCAATATATTTGTAAAAGGTCACCAGCCTTCAGTCCTGCAATATGCTAATACCTGCCGATGTTGTGCATACCTTAGATCTTTGTTATTGTAGCACACCAACTTTCAGGGACCAAGTTTTTTTCCCCTTTTAGGGACTACACTAAGCTTCTGTAATAGACCAAAAAATACAAGAGCTGAAGAAAGATAAACACTTTTTTCCTCATATAACAGTCTAAAGGTAGACAAGCAATCTAGGAGCTGTTAGGCAGCTTCACTTCACAAGGTAATTCAGGGCCAAGGTTCCTTCTACATTATTGCTCTGCAATCTCATGAGTCCTTCTAATCCTCATAGTTTAAACTGGCTCACCACCATCACAACTGAGTTCAAGCCTAGGAGAAAGAAAAGTAGAAGGCAAATAGCTTCTCTTTAAGAAATTACCTAAATGCAGAACTTGCCTAACTACAATGTCTCTGTGGAACAAAAATAGTAAAAGATTTGTAGAAAGTCAGAGGTGATATAATTAGAAAAACTCATGACATACAGTCACTTAATCATCAGATCGCATTATACTAATTATTTGAGAAGCAAGCATGCGGGGGGGGGGGGGGGGAGTAAAAGAAGGAAAGAATCTCAAGCAGATTCCCCACAGAGCAGAGAGCCTACCAGGGAGCTTACCCCAGGACCCTGAGATCAGTACCCCAGCAGAAATCAAGAGTCAGATGCTCAACCCACTGAGCACCTCAAACACCCTGTCCTTTTTTTTTTTAAGAGAGAAGGGGAGAGAGAGAAGGAGCAGAAGGAGAGGGAAAGAGAATCTCCAGCAGACTCTGCTGAGCGAGGAGCCTCAGGAGGGGCTTGATCTCAAGACTCTGAGATTACAACCCAAGAGAAACCAAGAGTCACAGCCTGAGTCACCCAGATGCCCCTTTTACTGGCCTTTCTGATTCTAACATGGAGTTTTGATTCTCAGACACATTGCAAGTAGAAATTAAAAGTAATTGCCACGTAGTATTTACCCTACAAGACTGAACCGTGTGTATCTTCCTGGGTTCCCAGTAATAGTATTCGCCCCAGCAACACACGTGCGCAACCTATTAATGTTAATGAAAACTGAATTTGTAACCCAGAGCCATTTATATTTTTAAAGAGATGCCTCCTGATAAGGCCCATGCCTCACCCAGGTACTTTTGGTGTCCCTCAGGTGATAACTTTCCCATGCCACCTAACCTGCACGGGTGATGTGCTCAAGTGACCTGCACCGCCAACTGTTTCATTCATTCTTTATACTAGTTCTTTTCTCTCCCGTGTTTCCCTTTCTTCTGGATTCAGAGTTGGTCACCTAAGACCCGGCCCGGAGGATGCGGTTGCTAAGAGACAAGACGCCGGGAGGGTGGGGACGCTGCACTGCGACAAGCCCGGGAGGGAGAGCCAGAGGGGGAAGGGGAAGGCAAAGGCGAGGCGCGGCGGCCGCCAGCCTCCCTCGGCCGCTCGTCTGGCCACCCGCCCCAGCTCCCGCGGGAGCTCGTTGCTCATTGGCTCCGCTGCTGCGGCGCTGGCCTGTGATTGGCGGGGCGGCGGCCGGCGCTGGCCTGTGATTGGCGGGGCGGCGGCCGGCGCTACCCTGCGCGCGGGAGGGGCGGCGCGTGCGGGCTCAGCGGCCGGGCTCGCGGGCCCCGTCGCGGGAGGCTTCATGGCGCGAGCGCGGGCGGTGCCGGCTGCTGCAGGTGACGGAGGCGCAGCGAGGGCCACCGCGGCCCCGGGCAGGTGAGCGAGACGCCGAGGGGCCTCGGGAGCCGGCGGGGGGCGGGGGCGGGGGCGCGGCCGGAGGCGGCACCGCTGGCCGTCAGCGGCTTCCCGCCGCGGCCTCCTTCCCCGCCGGCCCGGCCCGGGGACCCGCCGGAGCCCGCACGCCCCCGCACGCCCCGCGAGCAGCCCCCGCCCCGCCCCGCCCCCGCCGCCCGCGCACCTGCCGAGGGAGCCCCGGCCTCCGCCCGCCAGGCCGCGCCCGGCCTCCGCCCGCACCTTCCCTCCGCCGCGCCCGCTGCCCAGCGCCTTTGTCCGCGCCCCGGGGCGGGGGAACCTGAGGACGCGCCCCGCAGGGAGCCTCTGCGCCGGGGGTGGCCGGGCTTGTCCCTTGTGGCTTTATTTTCTCCTTCCCGGTGGAAGCCAACTGCCTCGGCCCGGGTCTGTGGTCGGGGAGCCGGGGCACGAGGCTTCTCCCCCCGGAGCGGGATGACCCCCGGTCCTCCCACCCTGTGCTGTGCTGGAGGCCTCCGACCTGCCTGCCGCCGCCGCCGTGCCGGCCCCTTCGTTCCGCACCTTCCCTCTTACGAAGCAAAAAAGTCTCTGTCTACAAAAGCCTTTTCCTCTTTTTTTTTTTTTTTTTTTTTCCAAGAGGAAAAGTCACCTGTCAGTCGTGGACCTCCCTTTGGTCTTGATTAAACTGGTCTTACTAATGCATTTAAGTAAACCAAAGTTGTGGGAGTGGGGGAGTAGGACAGCAGGGGTTTTTTTTATTTTGTTTTTTGGGGGGTTTTTTTTAGGGCAGGAGTTTCTTAAAAAGCTAGTGCATTAATTAGAATTTTTATATCTGGTAAATAACATGTTTCACCTTAACGTTGAAAATAGTTTATCAGTAATAGGACTAAGATTTGGTAGTAGTGTCATTTGAGCTTCCAATTTTTAAGTGCCGCAGCTTTTGATAAGTCTGTACTTTTTTTTTTTTTTTTTCCGGAATGGAGTGCACTGTAACAAGCTATTCCAAGGGAATTTATAAGAATACCACGTATATTATAAATGAGTATCACATTTGAAATATACATAAAAATGTTTAAGTACTTGATACGGACAATATTTTGATTAGCTAATAGGTGCCAACACACTGCAGGCTACAATAAATATTTATGATTTAAATAAATTTTTAAAAGATTTTATTCATTTGAGAGAGTGAGTGAGATAGCATGAGCAGGGGTGGTGGGTGGGGAGGTAGACCGAGGGGAGAGAGGAGCATCAGCCACTCAGGTGCCCCCAACAATAAATATTTTAGAAATTTTAAATGAATCTTTTTGGAAGTGAAGGAAAAAACAGCACCAAGTCCTCGCCCTGAATTCTTTATTAGACTATTTTTCTACTGAGGTCCAAACAAATTATAAGATACCCTATGTCCTCTAACATACATCTCAAATTGTATAGTATGAAAAATGATGATGTGCTGGGCATCCAGGTGGAGAATAAAGCTCTGTCTGTAAAATCTATTTTCAACTGGGTTCAAGGAAGTGTTTCAGAATTACTAAACTACATTTTGTTAAACTAAAATTATTAAATTGACCCTTGAAAATGCAGGAGTTAAAAGGTACTGATC